TGGCTCCCAATTTTTTTTACATCTTTTTTGACTAAGCAAGTTTGAGAAGTTTTCCATGGCTGTACTGGAGGAATTTCCATCTGGTATAGACAAAGTGGGAGACTGATCGATTCCCGGGTGCGGTCTAGGGACGGCTCCCTATTGGTCAACCATGTTTTGCATATTGATGATCTGGTAATTACTGCTCACTCTGAGAAAGAGTTGGAGGCTCTCCTGCTGAACTTGGAGCATGCCGCTTAGAGTGGGGCCTTACCATCAGCCCCACCAAAACTAAGCACCTGCTTGGCATCTTGTCACCAATCACTTGACGCCCTCAATGTATTAACCTTCAATGGGGTTGTTTGTTACTGGCCGACCGCACCTCCAATTAGCACGGTTGGCTACTTACGGTGAAAAATAAATTCAACGTACATACGATCGTAACTGAGTGGACGAGACGGAGTGGACGAGATGCATCAGACGAGACGGAGGGAATGGAGCGGATGGAATGCAGCGGATGGGACAGAGCGGACGGGACAGAGCGGACGGGACAGCGGTCGGGGACTGCACCGCGGACAGGATGGAGGGGGTGGAGCGGACGACACTGAGGGGACTGGACGGACGAGAGAGAGCGGACGGGACAGAGCTGATGAGATGAACCAAGATCCGATTCTTAAATCAAATTGCGACCCAGAATGCCTACGCACAGCCAATCGGGACACACATGCCCTACAGCGTCCATTTTTGCCGTAGCATTTCCCTGCGGCGTGTGCTATTGCTGTCTATGTTGCTATGGTGATCATCAATTCACGCTGTTTGCTATGGTATGTCTACACGGTGTTGTGCTGCGTTGTGCTGTATTGTCACAATCCCAGTGCAGCACTGACACACCGCCAATCCCCCTGCACCCGCCCCTCCCCGCCGTGCCTCCTGGCTGTGCCCCTGCTTCGCCTTGGCGCGAGGCCCACCGCCCCCCTCTGCTTCTAAAGTGGCCATATGAAGAGAGAGCGCCCCATGCATCCTCCTCCCCTCGCTCTGCAATCACTGCCACTACTATGCTGCTGCTGCTGTTGTGTATCTGTATTGCTGCTGTGTTTCTGCTGTGTGTGCTGCCGTGTTACTGCCGTGTTCCAGTGTGTGTTACTGTGTGTGCTGCCATGTTGGAAGAAGAAGTCGCCCCCTGTGAGTGGCTGGCTGAGGTGCCATCTGTTGAGGAAGTACTAAAGGCGATCCAGAGTCTGAGACCAGGAAAGGCACCGGGCAGAGATGATCTCCCAAGAGAGTGGCGTTTGTGCACAGACTGCCCTACATGACATCATAACAACAGTCTGGACCACTGGACGGGTTCCGCAGGATTGGAAGGATGCCCTGGTGGTCCCCCTCTTTAAGAAGGGGGACCGCACAGACTGTAACAACGACAGGGGCATCTCACTCCTCAGTGTGCCGGGAAAGGTCCTGGCAAGGATTATTCAACATCGCCTTGCTAGGCACGCTGAGGAGAGGCTTGCGGAGCCTCATTATGGTTTCAAAAAAGGGTGGTCCTGCACAGATGCCATATTTTCTGTCCGTTTGCTACAGCAGAGGTGTAGGGAATTCCAACTAAACCTACATCTCTGCTTTATTGACCTGGTCAAGGCCTATGATACCATAAGCAGGCCTGGGCTCTGGGTTCGTGCTTTCAGAGTCCCTGACCCTCTGCTCACGATCATTAAGGACCTTCATGATGGTGAGCGGGCCCGGTTAAAACTACGTGGCCGGGAGTCGGAGCCATTCCCTGTTCACCTTGGGGTGCGACAGGGATGTCCTCTGGCTCCCACATTATTTAACATATTTTTCGACCACGTAGTTCATGAAGCCTTTGATGGCTGTACCAGAGGAATTTCCATCTGGTACAGATACAATGGGAGGCTGATCGATGCCCGGTTGCGGTCAAGGGATGGCTCCCTATTGGTCAACCACATTATGTATGCCGATTTGGTAATTGCTGCTCAGAGGAGGAGTTTGAGGCGCTCCTGCTGAAACTGGAGCATGCCACTAAGAGGTGGGGCCTTACCATCAGCCCCACCAAAACTAAGCACCTGCCTGGGTATTTTGTACCATCGGGCACTCCACCCCCACAACTCCAATCGGTGATGGGGCAGTTGTGGAGAGAGTGGAGAGTTTCCTATACCTGGGCAGTGTGCTCATGACTGGCTCCGGTTTGACAGCAGAGGTCTCACTCAGAATCAGTCGAGCGGCATTATCTTTTCATCGGTTGCGTAACGCTGTGTGGAAGCTACCTGGACTGTCGCTCCGCACGAAGCTTCAAGTCTTCTCAGCCACGGTCATTCCCTTCCTTCTCTACGCTTGCGAAACGTGGACCCCCCTAATGGAGCATCTTCGCCGATTGGAAACATTTTGGCTGGCCTGCCTACAATCCATCCTGGGTTTAACCAGGCTGGATTGTGTGAGGACCTCACAAATCCTTGAAAGATCTGGGCAAAGTCCCATCGGTGAGTTCCAGCAGGCAAAGCTGCGTTGGCTGGGTCATGTAGCCCGCATGCCCAGTCACCGCATGCCTAAACAGCTTTTGTTCGGCCGGATAGAGGGGGCTAAACGGGCGCGGCATGGTCTAGAGATGAGATGAAGTGATGTGGTACAGGAGGATGTGGAGCTGAGTGGACTTGCCGATGACTGGTACCAGCGGTGTCAAAATCGGCCTCTGTGGAGGAGGATCGTGAAAGACGCTGCTGGACAGTTGGAGGCAGTCGCCCTCCAACAACAACGGAGGGCAGAGGAGCGACGCTCACAACAACGAGCGGAGCGCCGGTTGGCTAAAGCACAGCAAGTTGGTACAGTCGGGGGCACAGGTGGTGCATCAGCCAGTCATCTCGGTCATCTCAGTCAGTCGACCCGTGGCACCTGGGTCTGCCCCGTGACCTCTCCTGCCAGCGGGAATTCGACACTTCACGTGGCCTCAAGGTGCACATAGCCTGGCACAAGCGTCGTGGTGACGTCACCGCCACTTAGTGGTGAATGGCGGTTGTTGCTGCCATATTACTGCTGTGTTCCTGTGTGCTGCTGCCGTGTTACTGCTGTGTTTCTGTGCTGCTGCTGAATCTGTGCTGCTGCTGTATCTGTGCTGTTTCTGTGCTGCTGCTGCCTTACTGCTGTTGCTCTGCTGCTGCTGTTCCCCAATGCGTGTCGGCACTGCTGCTGCTGTCGCCGCGAGGAGCTGAGTTGCATCGGGAGATGGGATTCCCTGCGGCTCCCAGTGTCCCTCGGTTGTCGCAAGCGCCCCTAGAACGCCCCCCCCCCCATCACCTGGTGTTGAGCGTCGCCTGACAAGTCGCTGGGCTCTGTCGGTCTCTGCCCGCGGGTGCGTCTCTCGTGAACTATCCCCAGTGTCCCAATCTCTCCCCGATCCCCGTACCTCCCGATTAGCACGGTTGGTTATGTACGGTGCGAAATCAGTTCAACATACATATGTAGTGACATCGCTGGATATCACTGCATAGACGTCGACTTTGGAGGCAGCGCATTTATTTAGTTCCAACACACGGGGTTACTTCCCCTTAACAGAATAACAACCTCGGGTGGTGACCACCCGGCTAACTACGCTAGTTACTACGCTAGTTACTACACTAGTTACTACACTACTTACCACATAACTGTTACTACGGACCCGGGACCAACAGCATCTGCCCGGGTCCACGTGCTGGAAGACTCGTAGAACGGAGATCGCAGACGAAGGGTTTCTTTCCCGGGATGAACAACAACCCCGGCGGTCCCTCTCGGGACCCGGCCGATATTCTCTGTGGGCGTGGCCGGCCCCGCCCTTGGCCACGCCCACCTTCTAGCACCCTCGGGAAGGACCTGGGCCCCAATCACGTGACCCCCCTAGCCCCCTCTGGGGGCCCCTCTGTCAACTTAACCGGTCACATGTCCTCCCGGGTCAACCAGAGTGCCATGGCCTCACCCGACCTTCCCCTTTGGTCGGCACCCACACACCCTGTCCTGTAGGGCCTGGTGACACCCAGCGATGCCACTACACACACACGTCTCTGTCATTCTCCGTCTGACGCTGTCTTGCACCCTCCCCCTTTCCTCCCTCCTCTCCCTCCCCCTCTCTCCCCCCACCGCCCCCTCCCCCCTCCGTACGTGATCAGCTGTTCCCAGTCTCGCCGCTCCAACAGGAGCCACCACCGAGCCGGCATTTGACGCCGCGTGCTGAGCCCGCGCGCCGCTCCTCAAGGCAGAGGAGAGGTAACGGCGGAGCCCCCTCCCCCCACCCCCCTCCCCCCGAGCCGGCGGGGTTACGGTTCGACACCGGAGCCGGAGACCCCCCCCCACCCCCCCCCCCCCCCGTGTCTGCTCGCTCCCACGCTCGCTCATTTCCTTGAGTGCGTCAAACCGGTAACCGGTCGTATTTCTCCATGCGGTTACCGGTTGCTGTGGGTTACAGTGCGCCAAGCGGTAGGGCGGTTTAAACAAAACCACGATTGCGTTACCGGTAACTGCGTGAATAAACCGGTAAAAACCGGTTTGCCTCACGTCCAACTGTGTCGGGTAACGAATACCGGCACGTGACGCTCTGAGACCCAGAGGCAGCTGCCACAGTGGGGGTGGTGGTGTAGTAGTGGTGGTGTGCAGGTGGTGGTGTAGTAGTGGGGGTGGTGGTGGTGGTGCTGTAGTAATGGGGATGGTGTGCAGGTGGTGGTGTAGTAGTGGAGGTGGTGGTGCTGTAGTAGTGGGGATGGTGGTGGTGGTGTAGTAGTGGTGTGGAGGTGGTGGTGTAGTAGTGGGGGTGGTGGTGGTGTAGTAGTGGGGATGGTGGTGGTGGTGTAGTAGTGGTGTGGAGGTGGTGGTGTAGTAGTGGGGGGTGGGGGTGGTGGTGGTGTAGTAGTGGGGGGTGGGGGTGGTGGTGGTGTAGTAGTGGGGATGGTGGTGGTGGTGTAGTAGTGGGTGTGGTGTGGAGGTGGTGGTGTAGTAGTGGGTGTGGAGGTGTTGGTGGTGGTGTGGAGGTGGTGGTGGTGTAGTGGGTGTGGAGGTGGTGGTGTAGTAGTGGGTGTGGAGGTGGTGGTGTAGTAGTGGGTGTGGAGGTGGTGGTGGTGTAGTAGTGGGTGTGGAGGTGGTGGTGTAGTAGTGGGTGTGGAGGTGATGGTGGTGGTGTAGTAGTGGGTGTGGAGGTGGTGGTGTAGTAGTGGGTGTGGAGGTGATGGTGGTGGTGTAGTAGTGGGTGTGGAGGTGGTGGTGTAGTAGTGGGTGTGGAGGTGATGGTGGTGGTGTAGTAGTGGGTGTGGAGGTGGTGGTGTAGTAGTGGGTGTGGTGGTATAGTAGTGGGTGTGGAGGCGGGGGTGTAGTAGCTGTTACTGCTGCTGCCACTGATGCTGCTGATACCGCTTCAAGCAAAGCGGTGAATGGTAGCACCCCCAGTGGCTGCAGTGTCACGTGGGACCCGTTGCACGCAACGGGGCACGCTGTAGAACCCCGACTCTAAACGACGTATCGATCATCGATCCACGCGTACCCAATACACACGCACGCTACGGGACACGTGGGTGCTCACAGTCAATACCAGTGACAGTCGGTGAACGAGTGAGTGGGTGAACGAGTGGATGGTGGACCGGGTTGTCCGCATGGCGAGTGGGTGAGTGAGTGGGTGGGCAAGTTAGTGGAGCACATCTGCTGAGCTTCAGGAATGATCACGGTGAGTTTGTCTCGCCCGGTGACGGGGACTGCGGAGTGTGGCGGTGTTACGGAAGCGACGTCGTTCGGCATCGCAAGAATGCGGTTCGATGATGCACACTGACAAAAATCGTGACTCGCGCACGGGGGAGGGGCCGGGGGGGACAATGCGGTGGATTCCGGAACGGAATGATCAACACTCGGGGCAGCGAGGGCAGCGATGCTGTGGGCCAGCACGCGCGATGTGATCAGAGTCTCGCACGCATTGAGCACTTGCCACGGCACCAGGGAGTAGTCTCGGTGTTGAGACCAGGGGACCAGGGTGGGTGGAGAAGGGACTGTGTGTGTGACGCCAGGGTGGGTGGAGAGGGGTCTGTGTGTGTGACGCCAGGGTGGGTGGAGAGGGGACTGTGTGTGTGTTGCCAGGGTGGGTGGAGAGGGGTCTGTGTGTGTGACGCCAGGGTGGGTGGAGAGGGGACTGTGTGTGTGATGCCAGGCGACAAGGGTGGGTGGAGAGGGGACTGTGTGTGTGACGCCAGGGTGGGTGGAGAGGGGTCTGTGTGTGTGATGCCAGGCGACCAGGGTGGGTGGAGAGGGGACTGTGTGTGTGACGCCAGGGGACAAGGTTGGGTGGAGATGGAGAGGTATGGTGAAAAATATTGAATCGCGAGGTGGACATGGCAGTGACGAACTCCGCTTTTATCTTGTCCTTCAGGAGGAGGGGAGGAAGAGGGGGCCGATGCGGCGAGCGCCCCCCCTGGAGTGACGGCGGTGGTGACGGTGGTGACGGTGGTGATGGCGCGTGGCCCGCTGTGCAGGGCCCCAGCAGGTGAGGCCCAGCCACCGGTCGGCCGTGTTGGCCAAGAGGAAAATGGCGTGCCAGCCTGCGGACCTCTAGCGAGTCTTTGAATCTCTGACGGTCTCCTGGACCGTGCGCGAGTCCGTGAGTCCCTGCGCGAGTCTGCGGGCCTCTGTGCAAGTCCACGGATTTCTGCGATTCAACGTAACGGGAAGCGGCGTGGACGATCGGCGGCGTGTCGTCTGCCTACTGCTTGCATTCCTCGCATTCTGCCGAGCGGCGCGAGCGACTCCGAGTGTCCCCGTGCGACGTCCCCGCGTGACCGCGCAGGCCTCGCCCGGACCGTGGCCCCGCCGGACACCTCGACCTCTACGCCGTGAGCCCCCCCTCCTCGCCGGCGCTTCAGCCATGAGGTTCAACATTTCGGAGCTGCCCCCCGCGAGCCGGGATCGCGAGGAGGGGGCGCGCCACCCGGACCGTCCGGTGGGGGGCGTGATGGCGGCGCCAGAGGCGCCGCCGCCGCCGCGGCCGTCCTCGTCGCCGCGCGATGAGGATCTCCGGCCGCCGGCGCTCTACGGCGCGCCGCCCCCTCCGCGCTCCGAGCGCACCCCCCCGCAGGGCAAGGCCATCGTGGGCAAGCTGCTGCTCACCTACGTGTGCTCCGGCGCCGCTGCCGCCCGCGAGGGCCCGCGTGGCGCGGAGGGCCGACCGGGCCGGTGCCGGGCCGACCCGGGGCCCCGCTCGCCGCCGGCGCCGAGCGCCCACGGGAGCGACGACAGGGGCCCGAGCGACGGCGTGGCGGGGCCCGCGCCGGGCCGGCGGGCGCCGCCGGGCCACGGGGCGTGCGAAAACGGCGCCGCATTGGGCCCGTCCGTCCACCGGAGACGGATCGTCGCCAACATGGCGGAGCATCTTGCCCTGCGCGGCCTGGACCCTCCCGCCGGCACGAACCGCGGGCGCGGGACGCAGAGGCCCGACGCCGGCGCCGTGCCGACGGCCACCCCCGCTCCGGCGCCAACTGCCGACGTGGCGCGGGTGCCCAGGAGGACGCCGGAGCCGGCGCCGCGGTGCCCCAAGCGCCTCCGTTCCATGTCGCCGAGCGGCGCCGGCGCCGAGGGTGACGTGACGCCCGAGAGCTGGGCCCGGCGAGGGGGGGCAACCCCCGAGGGGGCCCCGGCCCGAACAAACCCCCAGCAGGCGCTTGCCAAAGCAGCGGCGGCGAAGCGCAAGCTGCTCATGGCGCCGGGGGACGAGGAGCCGGCGGGGGACGGCGGCCCGGGCTGCCGGTCGCCCCCGACCAAGCGGAGCGTTCCGCCCTGGCTGCCGGGCCTCGCCTCGTGGCACCACCGGTTGCCAACGCCGCCACCGCCCAGCGCCAACGCCCCGGCGCAGCACAGCGACGTGCAGGTGACGCTAATAACGTCGCTGTCAATTAATGAATTAATTGTGCTTCGTTCGCGGAATGCTCACGTTAACGCTTAGCTTTAAGCAGCATTACTATTGCTGATAGTAACTGTACTTTGCATTAGCAGCTTCTGTATGAACTAAGCATTCAAACTTAACCAACCATATATAACCAACCATGTGGCACGCAACACCGAGCATCACTTGGCCCAACTCAGGCTTTACCACGTGTACGGCACAAGGCCGACAATGTGCCATGGTTCACTCGGCTCGAATGCCAGCGGACGCAGCACGCCTCCTTCCCTGCTCCCTAACAGCGCCCTCTGTTCTAAGTGCTATAAAATACGGTTATCAAATGTCGCTCATTGTTACCATCTTAGCAGCTTTAACAAGTCTATTTACGCCATAGAAGCTGGATGTGTGTGTGCGAGTGTGTGTTACGCTGTTAAGGCTATACGGGGGATCTTTGTCTTTGTTACGCTATGATTACCGATGGCTCTAGATTATTATTCAAATATCCGAGCTCTGTGTGCACACGTCCTCACTTATCAATGCACCACGTTACTCTGGGATGCCAGTCACGTGTCCCTCTGTGCGTGTCCTAAGCGTGTCTTTCCACGTGTGTCCCTCTACGCATAACCGGAGGAAGGGGCCGAGCCTACAGTACTGCCCATCTGCCCTAAGCCAATCATGACCCAGCACTCTACACACTGCTATTATGTGCTTAGAGTGTTTGATCTGTTCTGAGGTCTACGAAAAATCTTTTGCGATACATCCATAGATCGTGTAATGGCCACAGACTGCTCTATCCCGTACAGACGGAACCGGTGGAGTCCTCGTTTCCTGTAGCGCCTTCTCCTGGCAGGCCTGGGCATGGCACCTCGTCGACGCGTGATCCATCAGCCCTCGCCACCGCCCCGCTAACTACCGGCGCCGCCTCCTCATTGGCCGCAAATCGGCGACTCGATGCCCAGCCCCGCGTGACTGCTCGGCTGTCCGTGAGCACCGCACAGGCTGAGGGTTCAGGGGGCGGACAGATCTCAGATGGCCGCACAGGCTGCCTGGCTTCACGTGGAAGCCGTCTCTCTAATTGCCTCTGTCGCTCCGTGTATGTAAACGTGTGCGTGTTTCTGTGTCTGGCGTGCGTGTGTGTGTTTGTGTGTCTGGCGTGCGTGTGTATGTTTGTGTGTCCGGCGTGCGTGTGCGTGTTTGTGTGTCCGGCGTGCGTGTGCGTGTTTGTGTGTCCGGCGTGCGTGTGCTTGTTTGTGTGTCCGGCGTGCGTGTGTGTGTTTGTGTGTCTGGCGTGTGCGTATTTGTGTGTCCGGCGTGCATGTGCGTGTTTTCCGTTTGCCGCTAGGTTCCTGCGCGAAAGTGTTTTCCCGAATGCCCCGATCGCCCGGCCGCGGTGCTCCGAACCATGGGGCTGTTTGGCACGTGAGTGGCGACACACTCGCACGCACAGATACGCATAGACGCACGCACGTACGCACACACAGATGCACATACGCAGGTATACGCACGTATAACAACAATAAGAACCGCCTTTCGCCACTAGCGCCGGTGTGATCAGCACAGCATTGTGCCAGACTATGTGCACCTTGAGGCCACGTGAAGTGTCAAAGTCTCGCCGGTAGGACGTCAAGGAACAGACCCAGGTGCCAAGGGTTGACTTACTGAGACAAAGGGCAGATGCACCACATGTGGTCACCACTGTGCTAACTCGCTGCGTTTTAGCCGCCTGGCACTCAGCTTGTGCGCATCGCTCCTCCGCCCTCCGCTCTTGCTGGAGGGCGACCGCCTCCACCTGACCAGTAGCGTCTTTCTCGAGCCTCCTCCAAAGAGGCTCATCTTGACACCGCTGGTACCAGTCATTCTCAAGTCCACTCAGCTCCACATCCTCCTATACTGTATCAGTCCATTTCTTCTCAAGCCCATACTGTGCTCGTTTAGTCTCCTCTATCCAGCCAAACAGAAGCTGCTTGGGCATGCAGTGGCTGAACATGCAGGCTACATGACCCAGCCAACTTAGCCTTGGCTGCTGGAGGAGCTCACTGATAAGAATGTGTCCAGATCTTTCAAGGATCTGTGAGCTCACACAATCCATTCTGGTTAAACCCAGGATGGATCATAGGCAGGTCAGCCTGAATGTTCCAAACCAGCGCAAATGTTTATTTAAAGGTCTGCACGTTTTGCAAGCCTAAAGAAGGCAGGGCATTACTGTGTCTGAGAAGAGCTTTATATGGCGTGCTAGACCAGGTAGCTTCCACACAGCGTTACACAGCCCATGAAAAGATAATGTCGCCTGACTGATATGGAGTGAGACCTCTGCTGCCAAATTGGAGCTGGTCATAAGCACAATCCCCAAGTGCGGAAACGTCTCCACTCTCCCTAGAACACAGGGAGCCAAGCCAAGTGCGAGTCTCACTTCCTGTGTGGCTGTCCAGGTGGCGAGGAGTGGCCCGTGCCGACGGCGGCGGCAGGGAGTCGCCCACGCCGCTGCCCCTGCCCAAACCCCGCGCCCCCCACCGCCTCGGCCTTCTGGGCAGCTTCGAGGTGAGAAGTTGGGGGGGGAGGAGGAGACGGGGTGGGGGGGAAGCATCCGTTCCATCGGTGCGAACACCGCACGTAGCCACGATCGGATCTTCCGAGACGCGTCGAAATGCTCGCACGGGAAATCCAACGGCCGCCACTGCCACCATCCATCTCACGCACGCACACAAAGATCCCCCGTATAGCCTCAACAGACTGTTAGGGCAAGTGCTGTTACCGAGTACCTGTAAAGGCCGGCACGGCCAACGAGAGACGGTGGCCGTCCAGTACCACGCCCCAATGGCGATGTATAAAAACCGCACCAGATACTCGCTTAAGGATGAGGTGGCGCAGGACCGGCTCGGGCAATCGTCACCGGTGTTGGTGGCCGTGAGCAGGAATTGAACTCGGGTCGCCGGGTTCGAAGTGCGGCACGCTAACCACCGCGCCGCGGTTCCCTTACCGCACGCGCCGCTCGCCGCGCAGGAGTCGGCGCTGCAGGGCCGCCTGCCCCCGGCGGGCTTCGTGGACGGCTTCACGGTGGAGCTGGGCGCCAGCGGCTCGTTCTGCCCGAGGCACGCGTCGCTGCCCGTGCTCGCCTCCTTCTTCTCCGTGGCGGAGGACGCGGCGCCCTCGCCGTACCTGGGCGTCGTCGACCTGCGCCCACTGGGCGTGCGCGGGTACCAGGTGCCGCGCGCCGGCACCATCCAGATGGTGAGCGCCGACGCCGCCGGCACGGGATTGGTGCACGACGAGCAGTGCGCTCGCACGGCTGTGGGTCAGCGCGGTGCAGTGGCAGAGTGGCACTGGCGGCCGTGCACTGGCGGACCTGTGCGACCAGGACTGCGCTCCCAGCGCTGCACCGTCAGTGCTCATTACTCTAGGATGGCTTTTTGTGTTGGAAGTTCGGTGTGCATACGTACATCACTGCACTAGCAGCACCGCACTGCCAGCAGTGCGTTGCACTACCACTGCTGCTGCACAACCAGCACTGCACTGCATGACCGGAGTGGAGCGCAAGTCTCATAACGTGCTCTGTTCTCACCCCCCCCATCACCCCCTCCCTCTGCTCACCATCCTCACCCCTGACCCCCCCTGCCCCCTTTCCCCCGGCAGACCCTATTTAACCCGAGCGGCTCGGTGGTGAAGATGTTTGTGGTGATCTACGACCTGCGCGACATGCCACCCGAGCACCACACCTTCCTGCGCCAGCGCACCTTCTCTGTGCCCGTGGGCCGGCGCCCGCCGGGGGGGGCGGCCGCCACCGCCTCGGCCCCCGCGGCGCACGACCCCCTCCCCACCACCACCACCACCGCAACCAGCAGCAGCAGCAGTAACACCGCGCACAGAGCCCTGCATTACCTTATACACCTCAGGTGAGTGGAGATGAGGGAGGTGTGTAGTGGCGGTAGTGGTGTGGGGAGCTGTGGTATATCGGTTAGAGCGCTGCACTATGAACCCGGCGACCCGGTGACCAATATCTGAACCGGCCCTGGGCCTCCCCTTGGTCGAATCAGCCTCAAAGAAGTAGCTGGTGCGTAAACATCGCCCCTGGGGAGACAAAGGCGGCCGGGCGAGGTGTCGGCCACCCACCCCCTCGTGTGCATTGCCAGCCTTCACAGGTGCTCGCTAACAGCACTTGCCCCAGCAGTCTCTTAAGGCTATACAGGGGATCTTTGTCTTTAAGTTGTTTTGGCAGTGGTGGTAGTGGTGGGGATGCTGGCTCTACGCATGTCTGTGCCACGTTATTCCGCACGTGACCCCGTGACCAACCACCCCCACCCCATCAGGTTCCTGAGCTCGCGCTCGGGGAAGCTGTTCCTGCACTCGGACGTGCGCCTGCTGTTCTCGCGCAAGTCGCTGGACGCTGACTCGGGCTCCGTGGAGCTCAAGTCGTTCACCGAGGCCCCTCACGCCCCACGGTTTTCTCCACGGCACTGACGGCAGCACCCCACCCCCCTCCCGACCCGTGGGGCTCGAGATCGTTGGTAGAATTCCCGGGGGTCGATGAAGGTACACGACTAACGGGCCAACTCGGAGCGGCATTGCAGCCCACCAAGAGAAGAATGACCCGACCTGGCGTGGAGGGAGGGGCGGCTTGAGCTACCACAAGGGGGCACGGGGTGGGGGGGGGGGTCTCGTATGCTCCATGCGCCGGCGCAAGGGGGTGGTTTGACCCCCCCCCCCCCCCCCCCCCCCCGTAGAATTTTTGACCCCGGCGTCAGAATTGTACAAATACCGTTGCAGCAATAGGACTTCCCCACGGAATAATTACCCCCCCTCCCCCAACCTTCGGGGTTAGAATACTATATAGGGTTCGGTTAGGGTGTCTGTGGAAGGGTTCTTAGAAACGTACTCGATGTTACGTGCCGATATTAATGCACAAGACTGGGGGAGGCCGTCATCCAGCAGTGGAATGATCGCGGTTGACTAATGAGGTCACTCGAGACTCGAGGGCAACCTCTCGGGATGATTGCAGGCATGGGAACAGAACAAATGACCAGTGGAGGGGGGGGGGGTCAACAGATAGACGGGGGTCACAATCGAACCCCACTCCGGCACGCGTCGAGCCACGAGATCGTCCGGATCGGAGCGCCCAACGCGAACCGTTCGGAACACCCGGCACGGACGGAGCACTGGCACGTGGAGCACTGGCACGTGGAGCTCTCGCACGTGGAGCTTGGGAGTATGGCACAAAGAGCACCGGCACACAGAGAGTAGCACGTGGTTACCTGGTGCTCGGCAGGCAGCGGCCGGGACGTGGATTGCAACACAACCACCTGGGAACCCGGGCAAAGATCAGACGTTGTGGGACATGTGGCACGGAGTGCCTGGTACAGCCCATTGGGCACTTGGCACAGATCACCTGGAGCCCAGGAGAGACTGCGTGCAACTGCATCTCACAAACGCGGATGTTTTTTTGCCACGAGTGACATCGCCATACAGAAGAGGATGGCGGCCGCTTCTGTTTGTATGGGACCGGCGTGGATACTTGCGTGCATGACACACGTACGCGCACACGTATGTGCGCACGCACACACGCCGCACGCCCGCCCGGTGGTGTGCCGGTCGGAGTGCGTGCGGAGAACTTGCGGTCATGCGAGCTATTAAAAAAATGGGTCGGGTTTCGACTTGAGCACTTAATCAGCCCTGGGGCTGTTAAAATGAGTATCATTACGTGGTACGTTAACAGCGGTCAATTGTAGAAGGGACAAATGAGCCCTTGCCATGATAATGTGGAATTTACAACACTGGCTCATAGATGTGCGGAAGGGAGGTGGTGAGCATCGTGCAGGGTGCGTTGGCACCGGGGGCACAGCGGCACTTTTGCAGGGTTTGCCATCTGCGGCGGACTGCGTCCACCCGTCATCCGGGCTGAGCGTGGCTTCGAGCCGAGCCTCTCGACACTTTATTATTTTGGTTCGGGATGTCGCGCAAAATGTCTCGTGTCCGGCTTCTTCCACTCTACTACGCGACGCCGCGAACCGCTCGTGATGCCTTCCCCACTTGTGACTCCCAACAGCGGTGGCACATCTCCCCGTGAACTCGACAGATTGGTGTTCTATTCATGTCTACCAGAGAAAATATATATATATTGAATGTGTTTACGGTTTTTGTTGAAGATGTTAATGTAGGGGGGCACTGATTAAAAAAGCTTGAAATTCCAGGGCTGCCCCCGGCTGGTGTACTGGGGAAAGCCTCAGAAGGTCTCTCAGGAGGGTCCTGCCAAGTTTTCGCAGCAAGGGCCGGTGTTGCTGCTGTGTGCAATCCCAATCGAGTGATTTGCAGAGGTATATTGAAGCATTGGGATGATTGGCCCATACCCCGATATATTGTGCGTGTGTGTGCTTTGGCGATGAGTGGAAACTCGAGAAATCCGGGGAAAACCCATTCGTGCAGAACAGGGGGAGAACATAAGTCTCCGAACAGAGAGACGCTCGTGTTGAGAATCAAACTCAGGCCGTGAGGCACGAGTGTTGGCAGTGTGCTGCCACGCCGGCTGTGAGCCCAGGTATGACTCCAGCTTCGAAGGACCGGGCGTGAGTTACGGCCTTTTGAGACGCGGGGGGCTGCGTCGCCTTGGACACCCCACGCCACCGTGGGAAGATAGCGGTGCACTGCCACCCCATTGCGTTTGTGATGTGGCCGCACGGTGGATGGAGAGGCGGTTAACGGTGGAGTTATCAAAACAATCTCCTGTGTGACGTGTCACCTCCGTGATGGTGAATCTGCCACGGTGATCTGCCACGTCATTCTCCTGTGACGTGTCTGGTCAGGTGAGTGGAGGGCACAGTGACCGGTCACATCAACTATCTTGTGGCGTGTCCGGTCAAGTGATAAGAGGGCACGGTGACCTGCCACGTCATTCTCCTGTGACGTGTCAGCTCGGTGAGGAGCGCGTGGTGGGCTGCTGGACAATACCGGCGAAGCGGAGAGCTGTCGCAGCCATTGCCCATGTGAGGGGCCCGGCAATGGCAGAGGGGGTGTCGGTCTGGCCCTGGTCCACCCTCGTGGTGGGGGAGTGGGTGTCGGAGCGGAGGGGGGCACAATGGGCAGCTCTATAAATCCGAGCCACAGTGCAGCAGCAGCACCCACAGCTGCCAGCACCTCCAACGCCCACGCTCTCTCTGCGACTCGGGGACGATGGCGCGCATCTCCGCTTCCCTGCATCTTGCTCTGCTGCTGATGGTGCTGCAGCTCCTGATGCTGTCACTGTCGGCCGGTGAGAGCGCGACCTCTGGTTGGTTAGAGAAAGCATCTCGGTGGAGTGTAGACCGAACAGAGAATGTGCATAGCATCTTCTTGCAGTAACAGAAGTGACTAAAGCGTGTGTTAATGTGTGGCTCTGCAGATATATTATAAGTCCTATTTTGGGATTCATCTTCTTGGTTCTTTCGAAAGAACCAAGAAGATGAATCCCTGCAGTCACGAAAGCTTTAAATCGAAATCCTATTTTGGGCCCCAGTAAGGAAAGGCTGCCCCATCCCTTCCATACAAAAAATATGGGCAGTGTTTCTGTGCACTCTCGACTTGATACTTGGCTCTCGAGGGCCTCGGTCTCTTAAGGAAACCCAAACCCGCAGCTTCCAAACTGTGGGAGTTTTATAAACTGCTGCCCCTGTTGTCCAGAATTCCCTACCCCTGCGTCTCTTTGCTGCCGATTTCCTTCCCCTCTTGAATCCAGTCAGGAACTTACTGCTCTCCTCATCACTCCACCCATGTTTTCTTTTTTACTGTTTGCTTAAAATTCTAGATGTCCCTGCCTTCAATCAGGACCTAATTGCAGAACAAGTCAACATCTTGTAGGGTGGCGGTGGTGGTTGAGACTGGATGAACATGGTGTGTCATGCCACTGTTCGCTCGGCCAAATTTGTGTTTTCATTTTGTATATTATTTAGTCCAAGTGAGCTGCTTTTGTGTTTTAATGGGTAACCCTGAACAGCTTCTTGAAGTCTTCTTGTTTCTTTCGGTAAAGTCACGTAGAAGGGAAGTAATAAAATAATAAAAATAAAACATAATAAAACAATTCTCACGACGTTTCGGCTACAACGCAAGCAGCCGTCTTCAGGTGAAGAAGACGGCTGCGTTGTAGCCGAAACGTCGTGAGAATTGTTTTATTATGTTTTATTTTTATTATTTTATTACTTCCCTTCTACGTGACTTTACCGAAAGAAACAAGAAGATGAATCCCTGCAGTCACGAAAGCTTTAAATCGAAGCTTCTTGAAGATTAAGTTGTTTTACATGATCTTGATTTGATTTGGTTTTACATGCTACGTGAATTCAACTTGTTTACATGCGTGTTGGTAATTTAATTGAATTTATATTTTAAAAGGGGACTGCTTCGGGTCGGGCAAAAAAGGCAGAGCCCAGATCGAGATGGAGAGCCACCTGGGAGGGCAAGCAGCATCAGCCAGTCGGCAACGTCTTCGATGAGCTCAATATTAACCCGAACTCTGGCAACTGATGGGAGAAAACACCTTTTATGGATCATATTGGTCGCGAAAGCCTACGTGTTAAACTATCTGATGTAAAGTCTTCCAGACAGTAAAAAAAGCTTGACCAGCGAAGTTCCAGCCCAGCCTGTACATGAATGATGCGCAGCCAGAAAAAATAGTCGAATCCGACAAAATTGCCAGAATACCGTGAACAGCTGTAACCCCTCTTTGACCCCCACAGGGACCCCTCTTTGACCCCCACAGGGACCCCTCTTAGACCCCCACAGGGACCCCTCTTTGACCCCCACAGGGACCCCTCTTTGACCCCCACAGGGACCCCTCTTTGACCCCCACAGGGACCCCTCTTAGACCCCCACAGGGGCCCCTCTGACCCCCACAGGGACCCCTCTTTGACCCCCACAGGGACCCCTCTTTGACCCCCACAGGGACCCCTCTTTGACCCCCACAGGGACCCCTCTTAGACCCCCACAGGGGCCCCTCTTTGACCCCCACAGGGACCCCTCTTAGACCCCCACAGGGACCCCTCTTTGACCCCCACAGGGACCCCTCAGACCCCCACAGGGGCCCCTCTTAGACCCCCACAGGGACCCCTCTTTCACGCCCACAGGAGCCCCTCTTAGACCCCCACAGGGGCCCCTCTTAGACCCCCACAGGGACGCCTCTTTCACCCCCACAGGGGCCCCTCTTTGACCCCCACAGGGACCCCTCTTTCACCCCCACAGGGGCCCCTCTTAGACCCCCACAGGGACCCCTCTTTCACCCCCACAGAGACCCCTCTTTCACCCCCACAGGGACCCCTCTTTGACCCCCACAGGGACCCCTCTTAGACCCCCACAGGGACCCCTCTTTGACCCCCACAGGGACCCCTCTTAGACCCCCACAGGGACCCCTCTTTGACCCCCACAGGGACCCCTCAGACCCCCACAGGGGCCCCTCTTAGACCCCCACAGGGACCCCTCTTTGACCCCCACAGGGGCCCCTCTTTGACCCCCACAGGGACCCCTCAGACCCCCACAGGGGCCCCTCTTAGACCCCCACAGGGACCCCTCTTTGACCCCCACAGGGGCCCCTCTTAGACCCCCACAGGGGCCCCTCTTAGACCCCCACAGGGGCCCCTCTTAGACCCCCACAGGGACCCCTCTTTGACCCCCACAGGGACCCCTCTTTGACCCCCACAGGGGCCCCTCTTAGACCCCCACAGGGACCCCTCTTTGACCCCCACAGGGACCCCTCTTTGACCCCCACAGGGGCCCCTCTTAGACCCCCACAGGGACCCCTCTTTGACCCCCACAGGGACCCCTCTTAGACCCCCACAGGGACCCCTCTTTGACCCCCACAGGGACCCCTCAGACCCCCACAGGGACCCCTCTTTCACCCCCACAGGAGCCCCTCTTAGACCCCCACAGGGGCCCCTCTTAGACCCCCACAGGGGCCCCTCTTTCACCCCCACAGGGGCCCCTCTTAGACCCCCACAGGGACCCCTCTTTTACCCCCACAGGGACCCCTCTTTCACCCCCACAGGGACCCCTCTTTGACCCCCACAGGGACCCCTCTTAGACCCCCACAGGGACCCCTCTTTCACCCCCACAGGGACCCCTCTTTCACCCCCACAGGGACCCCTCTTTGACCCCCACAGGGACCCCTCTTAGACCCCCACAGGGACCCCTCTTTCACCCCCACAGGGACCCCTCTTTCACCCCCACAGGGGCCCCTCTTTGACCCCCACAGGGACCCCTCTTTCACCCCCACAGGGACCCCTCTTAGACCCCCACAGGGACCCCTCTTTCACCCCCACAGGGACCCCTCTTTGACCCCCACAGGGACGCCTCTTTCACCCCCACAGGGGCCCCTCTTAGACCCCCACAGGGACCCCTCTTTCACCCCCACAGAGACCCCTCTTTCACCCCCACAGGGACCGCTCTTTGACCCCCACAGGGACCCCTCTTAGACCCCCACAGGGACCCCTCTTTGACCCCCACAGGGACCCCTCTTAGACCCCCACAGGGACCCCTCTTTGACCCCCACAGGGACCCCTCAGACCCCCACAGGGGCCCCTCTTAGACCCCCACAGGGACCCCTCTTTGACTCCCACAGGGGCCCTTCTTAGTCCCCCACAGGGGCCCCTCTTAGACCCCCACAGGGACCCCTTTTTGACCCCCACAGGGACCCCTCTTTGACCCCCACAGGGGCCCCTCTTAGACCCCCACAGGGACCCCTCTTTGACCCCCACAGGGACCCCTCTTTGACCTCCACAGGGGCCCCTCTTAGACCCCCACAGGGACCCCTCTTTGACCCCCACAGGGACCCCTCTTTGACCCCCACAGGGGCCCCTCTTAGACCCCCACAGGGACCCCTCTTTGACCCCCACAGGGACCCCTCTTTGACCCCCACAGGGACCCCTCTTAGACCCCCACAGGGACCCCTCGTTGACCCCCACAGGGACCCCTCAGACCCCCACAGGGACCCCTCTTTCACCCCCACAGGAGCCCCTCTTAGACCCCCACAGGGGCCCCTCTTAGACCCCCACAGGGACGCCTCTTTCACCCCCACAGGGGCCCCTCTTTGACCCCCACAGGGACCCCTCTTTCACCCCCACAGGGGCCCCTCTTAGACCCCCACAGGGACCCCTCTTTCACCCCCACAGGGACCCCTCTTTCACCCCCACAGGGACCCCTCTTTGACCCCCACAGGGACCCCTCTTAGACCCCCACAGGGACCCCTCTTAGACCCCCACAGGGACCCCTCTTTGACCCCCACAGGGACCCCTCAGACCGCCACAGGGGCCCCTCTTAGACCCCCACAGGGACCCCTCTTTGACCCCCACAGGGGCCCCTCTTAGACCCCCACAGGGACCCCTCTTTGACCCCCACAGGGACCCCTCTGAGACCCCCACAGGGACCCTTCTGAGACCCCCACAGGGGCCCCTCTTAGACCCCCACAGGGACCCTTCTGAGACCCCCACAGGGGCCCCTCTTAGACCCCCACAGGGGCCCCTCTTAGACCCCCACAGGGGCCCCTCTTTGACCCCCACAGGGACCCCTCTTTGACCCCCACAGGGGCCCCTCTTAGACCCCCACAGGGGCGCCTCTTAGACCCCCACAGGGGCCCCTCTTAGACCCCCACAGGGACCCCTCTTTGACCTCCACAGGGACCCCTCTTTGACCCCCACAGGGGCCCCTCTTAGACCCCCACAGGGGCCCCTCTTAGACCCCCACAGGGGCCCCTCTTAGACCCCCACAGGGACCCCTCTTAGACCCCCACAGGGACCCCTCTTTGACCCCCACAGGGGCCCCTCTTAGACCCCCACAGGGACCCCTCTTTGACCCCCACAGGGACCCCTCTTAGACCCCCACAGGGACCCCTCTTTGACCCCCACAGGGACCCCTCAGACCCCCACAGGGGCCCCTCTTTGACCCCCACAGGGACCACTCTTTCACCCCCACAGGAGCCCCTCTTAGACCCCCACAGGGGCCCCTCTTAGACCCCCACAGGGACGCCTCTTTCACCCCCACAGGGGCCCCTCTTTGACCCCCACAGGGACCCCTCTTTCACCCCCACAGGGACCCCTCTTAGACCCCCACAGGGACCCCGCTTTCACCCCCACAGGGGCCCCTCTTAGACCCCCACAGGGACCCTGCTTTCACCCCCACAGGGACCCCTCTTTGACCCCCACAGGGACCCCTCTTTGACCCCCACAGGGACCCCTCTTTGACCCCCACAGGGACCCCTCTTAGACCCCCACAGGGACCCCTCTTAGACCCCCACAGGGACCCCTCTTTGACCCCCACAGGGACCCCTCAGACCCCCACAGGGGCCCCTCTTAGACCCCCACAGGGACCCCTCTTTGACCCCCACAGGGGCCCCTCTTAGACCCCACAGGGACCCCTCTTTGACCCCCACAGGGACCCCTCTTTGACCCCCACAGGGGCCCCTCTTAGACCCCCACAGGGGCCCCTCTTAGACCCCCACAGGGGCCCCTCTTTGACCCCCACAGGGGCCCCTCTTAGACCCCCACAGGGGCCCCTCTTAGACCCCCACAGGGGCCCCTCTTTGACCCCCACAGGGGCCCCTCTTTGACCCCCACAGGGGCCCCTCTTTGACCCCCACAGGGGCCCCTCTTAGACCCCCACAAGGACCCCTCTTAGACCCCCACAGGGACCCCTCTTTGACCCCCACAGGGGCCCCTCTTCGACCCCCACAGGGGCCCCTCTTGGACCCCCACAGGGACCCCTCTGAGACCCCCACAGGGACCCCTCTTTTACCCCCACAGGGGCCCCTCTTTGACCCCCACAGGGACCCCTCTTTGACCCCCACAGGGGCCCCTCTTTGACCCCCACAGGGGCCCCTCTTCGACCCACACAGGGGCCCCTCTTAGACCCCCACAGGGGCCCCTCTTTGACCCCCACAGGGGCCCCTCTTTGACCCCCACAGGGGCCCCTCTTGGACCCCCACAGGGGCCCCTCTTTGACCCCCACAGGGGCCCCTCTTCGACCCCCACAGGGGCCCCTCTTTGACCCCCACAGGGGCCCCTCTTCGACCCCCACAGGGGCCCCTCTTTGACCCCCACAGGGGCCCCTCTTTGACCCCCACAGGGGCCCCTCTTAGACCCCCACAGGGACCCCTCTGAGACCCCCACAGGGACCCCTCTTTGACCCCCACAGGGGCCCCTCTTTGACCCCCACAGGGGCCCCTCTTAGACCCCCACAGGGACCCCTCTTAGACCCCCACAGGGACCCCTCTTTGACCCCCACAGGGGCCCCTCTTTGACCCCCACAGGGGCCCCTCTTCGACCCCCACAGGGGCCCCTCTTGGACCCCCACAGGGGCCCCTCTGAGACCCCCACAGGGACCCCTCTTTGACCCCCACAGGGGCCCCTCTTTGACCCTCACAGGGACCCCTCTTTGACCCCCACAGGGGCCCCTCTTTGACCCCCACAGGGGCCCCTTTTTGACCCCCACAGGGCCCCTCTTCGACCCCCACAGGGGCCCCTCTTGGACCCCCACAGGGGCCCCTCTTGGACCCCCACAGGGGCCCCTCTTCGACCCCCACAGGGGCCCCTCTTCGACCCCCACAGGGGCCCCTCTTGGACCCCCACAGGGGCCCCTCTTCGACCCCCACAGGGGCCCCTCTTTGACCCCCACAGGGGCCCCTCTTCGACCCCCACAGGGGCCCCTCTTTGACCCCCACAGGGGCCCCTCTTTGACCCCCACAGGGGCCCTTCTTTGACCCCCACAGGGGCCCCTCTTAGACCCCCACAGGGACCCCTCTGAGACCCCCACAGGGACCCCTCTTTGACCCCCACAGGAGCCCCTCTTTGACCCCCACAGGGGCCCCTCTTAGACCCCCACAGGGACCCCTCTTAGACCCCCACAGGGACCCCTCTTTGACCCCCACAGGGGCCCCTCTTTGACCCCCACAGGGGCCCCTCTTCGACCCCCACAGGGGCCCCTCTTGGACCCCCACAGGGACCCCTCTGAGACCCCCACAGGGACCCCTCTTTGACCCCCACAGGGGCACCTCTTTGACCCCCACAGGGACCCCTCTTTGACCCCCACAGGGGCCCCTCTTTGACCCCCACAGGGGCCCCTCTTTGACCCCCACAGGGGCCCCTTTTTGACCCCCACAGGGCCCCTCTTCGACCCCCACAGGGGCCCCTCTTGGACCCCCACAGGGGCCCCTCTTGGACCCCCACAGGGGCCCCTCTTCGACCCCCACAGGGGCCCCTCTTTGACCCCCACAGGGGCCCCTCTTTGACCCCCACAGGGGCCCCTCTTCGACCCCCACAGGGGTTCCTCTTCGACCCCCACAGGGGCCCCTCTTTGACCCCCACAGGGGCCCCTTTTTGACCCCCACAGGGGCCCCTCTTCGACCCCCACAGGGGCCCCTCTTTGACCCCCACAGGGGGCCCTCTTTGACCCCCACAGGGGCCCCTCTTCGACCCCCACAGGGGCCCCTCTTTGACCCCCACAGGGGCCCCTCTTTGACCCCCACAGGGGCCCCTCTTCGACCCCCACAGGGGCCCCTCTTAGACCCCCACAGGGACCCCTCTTTGACCCCCACAGGGACCCCTCTTAGACCCCCACAGGGACCCCTCTTAGACCCCCACAGGGACCCCTCTTTGACCCCCACAGGGACCCCTCAGACCCCCACAGGGGCCCCTCTTAGACCCCCACAGGGGCCCCTCTTAGACCCCCACAGGGGCCCTCTTAGACCCCCACAGGGGCCCCTCTTTGACCCCCACAGGGACCCCTCTTTGACCCCCACAGGGGCCCCTCTTCGACCCCCACAGGGGCCCCTCTTCGACCCCCACAGGGGCTCCTCTTGGACCCCCACAGGGACCCCTCTGAGACCCCCACAGGGACCCCTCTTTGACCCCCACAGGGGCCCCTCTTTGACCCCCACAGGGACCCCTCTTTGACCCCCACAGGGGCCCCTCTTTGACCCCCACAGGGGCCTCTCTTCGACCCCCACAGGGGCCCCTCTTCGACCCCCACAGGGGCCCCTCTTCGACCCCCACAGGGGCCCCTCTTTGACCCCCACAGGGGCCCCTCTTTGACCCCCACAGGGGCCCCTCTTCGACCCCCACAGGGGCCCCTCTTCGACCCCCACAGGGACCCCTCTTAGACCCCCACAGGGGCCCCTCTTGGACCCCCACAGGGGCCCCTCTTCGACCCCCACAGGGGCCCCTCTTCGACCCCCACAGGGACCCCTCTTAGACCCCCACAGGGGCCCCTCTTGGACCCCCAGCGTGGCCTAGCTCCGCCGCGGCCACGCCCCCTTCTCTCTGGAACCTGCTGGTGGGTTCCCCGGGCTTCCCGATGGGCCCCCCTCTGTGACCTTTCCCCTCTGTGACCTTTCCCCTCTGTGACCTTTGCCCCCGAGATGTCACCCCCTCGTGTCTATCGTGGCCTGCTGACTTCAGTACTGCTGTACGCCGCAGTTCCCCTCACTCGCCAGCAGCCAGCACTATGCCACTACACGTGTATGCACCTTTAGTTAACCTTGCCGGCGTGTGGGTATGTATATACGTGTAGCTCTCCACAGGGGTGGTGTGAACACAACCTAAGGTTGGCTCCTCGCACCGACGGCTAATCGACACTTCTCCCGCCTTTCTGCGACCTCTGCTGCTGCGGGTCGTGGCCATTATGGACCGTGCCGGGTCTCGCCTGATAGAGGGGCGCCCGCTTTGTTGACGATGCAAAATGACTCGGCGGTGGATGTGGACCCTCTGCGTGTGACGTGAACACGACCTAAAATTGGCCCCTCGCACCTCCCCAACGACGAATTTGCGCTTTTCCCGACTTTCCGCGAGTTCTGGCGGTGCACAGCTACATCGCACCGGGCCTGGTCTGGCCTGACAAGAGGGGGGCGAACCGCTTTGAGCGCGATGCACAATTACTCGGGGGTGGCCCCTCTGCGGGCACCGTGCACAACGCGTGAAGTTGGCTCCTTGCCCCACGTACACACCACCCAACACCCCCCGCACCCGAGCTTATGCGGCCTTCCCATTGCTCGGGGAGATGGCTCCTCGGGGTGAGCACCCTCTGCCCGCCTCGCTGAAACTGAGGGCCTCACATTCGTGCCGAGCCCTCTCATAGAGTTAGCTACCTGCCTAACCACAACAACAACAACCGCCATTCACCACTAAGTGGCGTCGACGTCACCACGATGCTTGTGCCAGGCTATGTGCACGTTAAGGCCACGTGAAGTGTCGAACGCCCGCTGGCAGGAGGTCATTAGACGGACCCAGATGCCACGGGTTGATAGTCACTTGCACACCCGCAGCTCACCACCAACAAAATGAAGACCAAGACGACACAGACTGTCACATTTTCATCTCTCACCTCGGGTGTGGCTGGGCAGTGGTGGACTTTCTGGGGCGACTCGACGCCGTGAGCGAAGGCGCGGTGGCACGAGAGCCCAGGAGGGTCGCCGTGGAACACTTCGACTTCACGTTCGTCCGCACGCGGCCACTCTCCAGCTCGCCCTCCAGACTCTGCCGCCCTGTGCCTCTCCTTACTCGTTTTCGACCAGTCTGGGCCCATTAGCTCCCTGGTTTTCTACCGACAAGGGAGCCAGCGCCAATTGCGTGACCCCCACTCCCGTTCCACCCCTCCCCCCCTCCCATTAACTGTCAATCTCCTCACCAACACACAACGCACCAGATCCTTTATTCTACCTCCGTCACTCACAGTTCCCTCCTTCATCCACGGCTCTCTCCTCCCATCCCTCCTATCCCCACGGCCCCCTCTCTCATTCCCTCCCCACCCCCTTCCACCTCATTACTGTCACCTCACTGCCACCGCCCCACATATCGTTACATCTCAGACCATGTCTCCACGTCTCCCGCCACCGATCGAATATCGTCACATCGCGGGGGGTCACTCCCGGTCAAGTGGGTGCAGGGATTGGGGGTCAGCGTGTAAGGGGGTAGGGGAACGCTGATGTTACCCGTTATGGGAGACCGGTGACATCCGTGAGCAGACCACACGGCAGTGCACGCCACGTGGCGAGCGGGGCCGATGATGTCCATCCAATGAAATGCACCGATTTGTGTTCATTCGTATCGCCTTTTTCTGACAGCGGCTGACAGATCTGGCTCCTGCCCAAAGCAGCGGCCTGGCACCGTCGGCACGTGCGTCAACCTCTGCGAAGACGACGACAGCTGCCCGGGAAAGCAGAAATGCTGCAGCAACGGCTGTGGCCGCACCTGCATGGATCCCGTGCGGCCAGGTGCGGCGCGCCCCCCCCCCCCACCTCCTACGCGCCTGTTAGGGGGCAAGTGCTGTTCGCGAGCAGCACTTGTGAAGGCCGGGCACGGCACACCAGGGGTGGGGTGGTCAGCACCAGGCCCGGCCGCCTTTGTCCCCGAGTAGCGATGTTTCCACATCGAACCAGGTACTCCACGTGAGTCTTTGGGTCTCTATGTTAGTTTTATGGTTCGTTGTCTGAGTCTGAGGGTCTCTGTGTGAGTCTATGGGTCTCTGTTTGAGTCGATGGGTCTCTGTGTTAGTCTATTGTTATTCTGTGAGTCCGAGGGTCTCTGTCTGAGTCTGAGGGTCTCTGTGTGAGTCTATGGGTCTCTGTTTGAGTCGATGGGTCTCTGTGTTAGTCTATTGTTATTCTGTGAGTCCGAGGGTCTCTGTCTGAGTCTGTGGGTCTCTGTGCGAGTCTACACCCCTCGGTGTGAGTCTACGAGTCTCTATGTGAGCCTACGGTTATTTTACGTGAGTCTGGGGTTGCTCGTGTGTGAGTTTATCGAAGAGCAGATGGTGTGAGATCGTCAGGGCAGATCTTGGAGGTCCCGTATCTCCTGTGCAGCAGCAGCAGCAACTGCAGCAGGGTCGAGTGAGTCGAGGGCAGGACATCAGTGTCGAGACGCTTGGGCCGCGCCGACGTCTTTTCGATGTGAAAGCAGCGTGCGAGTGAAACGATTCCCAATTTTCTATTTGAATGTGTCTCAAAGACAAGCCCGGCGCCTGTGCCTTTGTCAACACGAGCAAAATCCACTGCCTATCCCACGAAAACAAATGCGCGGACGACCAGGACTGCCTGGGCGACAGGAAATGCTGTGACATCACGGGCTGCGGGAAGCAATGCACGAGACCAGGTACGCCACGGCGACGGCTGTCCCATCATCACCAGCCTCTGTAAATTAACATCGGCAGCCGGTGATGTTACTACTGCTGGAGGAAGGACCCCAACCCTTCGCCACCTTTCGCGGGCCTTGAGACTGGAGCTGATGAACGCGCTTGGTAAAGGGGGCGGGATGGGGTTCTCGTTTTGTGTGATCAAGTCAGACATTCGTATTGATATTGAACGACAAACATAGCTCGTCCAAGGGTGTGTCCCCTCCCTGGGTTTCGAAACAGTTCAACGAAAATGTAACGAGAAATCGTGCTCGTGGGAAACGCCACATTTGTGGGTGGTACAAAAGAAACTCTCTCGAAGGGAGGGGGTCAATCTTTGACCGTCGCAAGTAGCGGTGCGCCTCGCACGTTGTCCATCCTCCAAAGCATCGCGCACTGCAGCGGGGGCAGTGTTTGGGGTAACTAAACGGATGCAAGAGACCGTGTCAGCAGTGCAGCGTGCAAGTTGGACGCTCGATGGGAATTCATCGCGAGCTGAGCAACTGACGCGACTCGCCGTCACTCTCCCGCTGCGGAGGCTGAGTACGGGGTGTGTGTCTTGTTAGATGATTACTCGTGGTGTGCAGGTGGGATGAAGGACTCCAAAGGCGGTAATTTGTTGGGTACATCTCCCGAGCGCGCTCCCTCGTGGCGGTGGCGGTGTCCCTGATATCCACGTCACCCTCCCCATGTCCTACAGAGGCGCTATCCAAGGATGCCTAACATCCTCACGGATCTATGTCGAACTTGTTCCAACTGTGCTAATCGGAGGTGCGGGGGAAGGACAACAACGCAAACACACACACAACAAAAAATCAGTTCTTAAGAAATTCGTTTGTCAATCGAGATGGTTTCAAAGTGCATCGCTCCCAGAGCGTTCCAGACGGCCGCAGAAGCGCACCTGGAAACGCGCGATGCGGCAACCGCCTTTGTTCGACAGCTCGCCAGATGCTGCGCGGGGGGGGGGGGTGCAGCTGCTCACGTGACCCTGTTGCTGTGCGATTGTTTCACCAGTGAAACGCAGGCCCGGATTTTGTCCGTATGTCAACGCCCAGCTCATCAAATGCGCGTACCGACCCGACCTCAACCGATGCCAGCAGGACTGGCAGTGCCCCGGCAAAGAGAAGTGCTGCAGCTCCGGCTGCCTGATGATCTGCAGAAAGCCAGGTACGCAAGCCCCGATCACTCCCCAGCTCATCACTTGCATCGGCAGCTGTGATCTATCCACTGCTGGATGAAGGCCTCTCCCCAAGGCCTTGCCAACTCTCGCGGTCACGTGAAGCAGCAGTCCATCAGCCGGTCGCAATCTCTCCACGGTGGACATCGTCTCGGGCGCGTTCCCCTCCTCTGGCTGCCATCCGATCCTTCGTCTTCTCTCTTCCTCTCCGCGCTGTTCCAAGCGGACACCTCTCGGTGCTTCTTCGATCGCTTCTGTTCCATCCTCTTTGTGACCGTCCACGCTTCTGATCAGTGCGTCACAGCAGGCGATATGCGCCGATTGACAACGTTCTTCTTCATTGGGCACGTGGTCTGTTGCTTTCAATGTGCAGGTTCGCTCTCGTCCGCCTCACTGTGTCATCACCTCGATCCCGGTCGCCTGCATTAACTGCCCTCGGTACACGCACTCTGTTGTGCTTCCCACTGAGGGCTGTCCTGCTAAAAATATATAATTGATGAGCCACAAAATCGTCATAGTCCACAACATTGAGAGGAGGTGGATTCAGTTGATAACTTTTTGAAGTTAATTGTGCATCTTTCGGTGGTGGTGATGATGATGATTCGTCCAGTCGACGTAAATATTTAAATTCTGACGCAATTAAAACCTATCGATCGTGGGTCGTACAGCCTTCCAACGACACTGGCATGCATGTGTAATGCACACATGTGCTACCGCACACATGTGTTACCGCATGCATGTGTAACGCACACGTGTACCACACGCATGTGTAATGCACACATGTAACGCACACATGTGTTACCACACGCATGAGTAATGCACACATGTTACAGCACGCACCTTTCCATTACGAGTCAAAAGCGCGGGAAACCCGCAGGCAAGCAGGTAAGGTAAAGGTGTGCTGGCGCCAACCATTTCCCAAGCTCTGCCGCCCTCTACACGTAAAAATGTTTACAGGCAATTAACGGGTCTTTGATACACGGGGGATGAACGGGAGTGCCCAGAGAAACCCCACACAAACGACAACAGATAGAGATGAATCCGCCTGCTGTGCCTGTCTCGGCCTCGCTCTGCGCCGCATTGCACCACTATCTGAGTAGTTAACCTCGCATAAGAACATAAACACACTTAGAAACAATGCTTCTTAAAGTCCCACAATGAACAGATGCACCCTCTTCACTGAGGCGCTAACTGTACCTCCATTGTGCACTCTGTGTCATGGCTGACCCCCCCCCCCCACCTGGCCTTGTGACTTAGAGACCCTTAACTAGTAACTTCCTGGTCACGTGACCAAAATCAACACCACCCTATCAGGAAGTACCTGTGTAAACACACCCCCATATCTGCCGTGGGGCAGAACAGTGCCACATTATTCACACCTCAGATTAGCGAGGTTGGATTGCGCGTGGCGCGACGGAAGTTCAACGTTCTGTGAGCGGCATAGCCAGACCCGGGCAATCCTACGGGGCTCCTAAGTCACCGACCTGCGCGGCCTCCACGCGTGATCAACCACGTCGGTTGCCCACGGCTCTCCCTTCCCTCGCCCTCGCGTGCGGGCCGCAGTGAAGGTCGGATCGTGCCCGGTGGAGGACACCTACTGCATCGCCAGACAAGGGGATGATGAGGAGGAGGATTGCACGGACGACACCGACTGCCCCGGTGACAAGAAGTGCTGCAGCCTCGCGTGCGGGATTCGCTGCTTGGATCCAGAGCCATGTGAGAGTCGATCGATACCGTCGCGCACCCGGGTCTGTCCCGTGACCTCCTGCCCGCGGGCCTTCGACAATTTCTCGTGGCCTCACGGTGCACCGAGTGTGACACAAGCGCTTTGGTGATGTTGAAAACAGATTCATTGGATGAAAAAGTTAATTATTGCATTCATTGTGCTGCCATTTGCGGGGAGATGATGCGAAGAGTGGAATGTCAATTCACCCAGTGCACCACTCGTACTCTCCCTCGCCGAGTTGCCTCGCGGATGGCTGATCGCGTGATCCCGCTTATCCGTGTCCAAGCTGTCATCCCTCGCCCTCGTCCGCCAGGTTCAGTGGTGAAGCCCGGTTCGTGCCCCATCCGGGACTACTCGAGGATCAAGTGCTTGCGCTACCAACACGACTGTAGCGGTGACGTTGACTGCCCCGACAACGACAAGTGCTGTCGTGTCGAGTGTGGAACTGGCTGCGTGGATCCAGATATTGGTGAGATCGGAACCGGCCCCTGCCTGCCCCCCCTCCCCTCACCACCCTCCCACGGACACAGGGGCACGGAGACATGGGGACAACCTGTATGAAATCCCCCGCATTTCCTGGGAACCCTGCATTCTTTCATTTGCATGACATTTGAACATCAATGGACGAGCTTATAACCGCATGCTGTGATTGGAGAGCCACGTGATGGCTTTGGGTGCACCGGTTGGATTCCCTATTATACCGCGTGCAAGAGCGACTCTTGCACAACGATCGGAGATGTATGTATGTTGAGTTTTTTTCACGCCGTACGTCGGCAACCGTGCTAATCAGAGGTGCGTAATTGACGTGATGTGAGTCATCGACTGCTCCTCACTCACGGGCAGTCACAAGCTCGGGTTGGTTCCGTCTGAAGCTACAGTGTGCATTGTGTGGGAACTGGCTCCGTGAGTGCCCGTGCCTCACCCTGGATTCATTCACTAAGATCGAGTCTTGCACTCACAATGTGTGCCCTCAATGGTTTTATATTTTTCAGCGAGAAAACCCGAAGGGCCGCTGTGAGGAGGCGTGCACTATGGCCGGCTACGCACGTCATCCCGCTGCTCTGCACAGCAGCAAAGGGCTTCACAAGGAGCGATCCGCGCACCCCCCCCCCCACTGACCCCCCCCCCCCCACTAACCCCCCCCCCCCCACTAACTCCCCCCACACTAAACCCCCCCTACTGACCCCCCCCCCACTAACCCCCCCCCTACTGACCCCCCCCCCCCCCCCACTGACTCCCCCCCCTCCACTATCCCCCCCTTCACCCCTACCGGCCGTCTGCGGTCCGCAGCTCTCGCTCGCTATCTTAATTCGACAGCTCCCGATGGCTGTGTCCAATAAAGTGCTGTGCGCCGAATCCTGTGTCCGAGTGCCCGTGTGCTTGCGTCTTCTGCTCTGTGATGGAACGTCGCGCTGGCACGCGTCACGCCAGCTCAGCTCGAACCCACGTGGCAACGCGTGGGACCACACGTGAGAACACACGCGTGAGAAGACACGTGACCACGCGTGCGACCACACGTGGTCACACGTGCGAACGCACACGTGGCCACGCGCGAGAAGACACGTGACCACGCGCGAGAAGACACGTGGCCACGCGCGAGAAGACACGTGACCACGCGTGAGAAGACACGTGACCACGTTCCCACGGCCACTGGGGAGCAAGGGGAGTCCGGTTCGTGAACCAGGCGGACGGGATCGGCTCTGGTTCCTTGTGTAGTCTTACAGGACAGTGATTGGAATCGTTGGGTTTAGGCGTCGTATTGATGAAGCTTAAACACATGCGGGTGAACAGAACGTTACGTTGTTCCGCAGGCGATGTGTTAGTTTACCACACATGTGGATGATTACATTGCTATGCTACATTTAAAAGCTATGTTTCTTTAAGCATTATCCTGTTCTATAATTACTTGTAAGTTAATGTAAACAATGCCTCATCCCACTCACCCGCCTTGCATTTACAAGTGAATTGATCTGCTGTGATCCATATGATGTTTGATATGCCTTGACATTTCTGTTCAGCCAGGGAATGTGACCTTAATCTGGCTTTGTGTAGCCTCACCGCGCCCGCGTCCTGGACCGTGTTGGTATCTGTGGCTCGTCGTGTTTCTGCACTGCTGCCTCGTATCACGAACGCGTGGCAGTCCGATACACTCCAGACTGCGGCCTCGTATCACGAACGCGTGGCAGTCCGATACACTCCAGACTGCGGCCTCGTATCACGAACGCGTGGCAGTCCGATACACTCCAGACTGCGGCCTCGTATCACGAACGCGTGGCAGTCCGATACACTCCAGACTGCGGCCTCGTATCACGAACGCGTGGCAGTCCGATACACTCCAGACTGCGGCCTCGTGTCACGAACGCTGTGAGCGCCGGGTGTCGAATGGAGCGCGTTCCCGTGCAGAACAAATCCCACCGAGGAGATGGAGAGATGAAATCAGCTCGTGTGCGAGTGCTCAGGTGGATTGTTGTGAGAGATAATGGCAGCTTAAGGGAGTCTCCATCCAGCAGTGGACTAACCATTACTCGGCTCTACATCTCCCCATGGCCTTACACCACCTCATCTCGTCTCTCTCATCTCATTCCAAGCCCCCTCCTCTCGTCCTCTTCGTTCCCAATCATCTCTCCGTCTCTCTCTGTCCCTCATTCTCCCTGTGCCAAATCCCGTGTTCGGCCCTTCTCCTTTCTTGCACCCCATCTACTGGAATCGACTCCCACTGGTACTTTGAGCAGCACCCCCCATAGACTCAACACTGCCCAAAGACTCAACACTGCCCATCGACTCAGCACTGCCCATAGACTCAACACTGCCCATAGACCCAACGCTGCCCATAGACTCAACACTGCCCAAATACTCAGCATTGCCCAAAGACTCAACACTGCACATAGACTCAACACTGCCCAAAGACTCAACACTGCCCATCGACTCAGCACTGCCCATAGACTCAACACTGCCCATAGACCCAACACTGCCCATAGACTCAACACTGCCCAAATACTCAGCATTGCCCAAAGACTCAACACTGCCCAAAGACTCAACACTGCCCATCGACTCAGCACTGCCCATAGACTCAACACTGCCCATAGACTCAACACTGCCCATAGACCCAACACTGCCCATAGACTCAACACTGCCCATAGACTCAGCACTGCCCATACTCAACACTTCCCCTGTACAGGAAGCAGTCCCTTTCTTCACCTCCCTCCCTTCTCTCTTAAAGCCTCGCCTCTCTTCTCTACTGCCCATTCTCTCTCCTCCCCTCGCCCCTCCACTCCTTCCTGTCCCTCCCCGACTATTTCATGACCCCTAAGCATCCCTCTATCGCTGTCACTCATTCCTCAATCCTTGCACCGCTTCATAATTCCATTCTCTGCCACCGTTTTGTAAGCTATGCCAAACGCCTTGAGTGAAGACGCTCGCGATATAAATATACAATTCGGTTATGACGCACATTGGTTGATAGGAACTAAGACAGAGACAAAGATCCCCCGTATAGCCTTAACAGACTGTTGGGGCAAGTGCTGTTTGCGAGCACCTACGAAGGCAAGAACAGCACACAAGAGGGGGGGGGGGTGGCCAGCAACCACGCCCAGCCGCCTTTGTCTCTCTAGTGGCGATGTTTACACACCGCACCAGGTACTCATTTGAGGCTGAGTCGAGCTAGGGGAGGCCCAGGACCGGTTCAGAATATCGTCACCGGTGTTGGCCGTGAGCGGGAATCGAACTCGGGTGACCGCGACACCCGCGCTGCAAGGGAACAGCAACTGGCGTCTCGATCTCGGACCTCGTTACGAGTTTTTGCCGTTCGCAGATTTGCGAATCCGATCGAGGGGGTCCCGCTGCTGCTGCCGTGCGCATGGCACGCGCGAGGGATTAGGGTGGCGGATCTGTTGGCAGCACCACGCCGCTCCGCGTTCCGTTTACGTCTCCACAAATGATTGTTTGCTCAGCGCTAAATCCACACCACTCCAGCTTAAGTTTTGTCTGATGACGATATGATAGTAATCATGAAGCGATTCTTGAATCGAAGAAACGTCCCCGGATCGTGACAATGCGAGGAATCGCTCGCGGGGGGTGGGGGGTGTGAATGTTGTACAGTACTGCACAGCTCCCTCTCTATGGTTATTGCGGTCGTGACCACGTGTTGTTCGGGCGCCATGTTCGACGTTTCTCTCCACGTGCTGGGAGCTTCTTCAGTCGCTCAAGTCCCTTGCTGGGAGCCCCAGCGCGTGGACACGTGGTGACGAGCCGAGTGACCGCCGCATACAGAACTCAGAACAACAACATTCACGTCGACGTAGCTTTGCCCAAAGGCCAAATGAACCCACGGCTGACGTTCGTGGCGAGTGTGTCACGTGGTGATGTTTGAGCAAACGAGACGAAATTCATTTCAGAGCTGGGCCGTAGCTTCTGAGAGTTCGGGGTTTGCACCCCAGGGCCCGAATGAACGGTTGAAGCCCAGCCTGGGGCTAATTTGTAGATTATTTTTTTTACTGATTTGAAGCGTGCGCATTGAGGACTTTCCCGCATGCACCACCGCGTCACGCTTTGCCCGTTCTCTCATCGCACAGGGAGATTGAAGGTGATTGCTGATTTGCCTGTGTGAGCACGTCCCCCTCCCCTCCAATGGGCGTTGTGTGAGCGTGATTATTGAATGGGGTTGGGTGAGCGCGCGTCAATTACTGTTTGGAAGACACGGGGAGCCACGGGGTGACCGCAATACAGGTCCACATATCTTCATAGTTCGGTCCGCGCCCCCCCCCAACACCACCTCTGTTCACCACCCGGCACTAATTTGGGGGTGGTGAAGTATGGTCACGCAACCTCTACGACCGACAAGTGCACTGACTGAGCGCAGGGCGGGTATATTTATTATGCGTTTAATACTCGCGTTGTTTTTTTTGCGTATAGCTTGTGGAAAAACAAATATTCTTGTCTTCAAAAAGGATGAGGCGCCAACCGAGCCGGTGGAACTGGTTATCTGGTTAATCTCGAACTTTCTCCACGACCGTCCAGTGAGAAGATGCCTCGGGGCCGTGCCGACACACGCCCCCTGCGCCACGTCCCCATCCCGGCCCAAGGGACATGGGCGAGTGTCGGTGAGGCATCGGTCCGCCCGTGGGGGGGGGGAGTGGGCGAGGGTGGGGGCCAAGTGGGCAAGGGCAGCTCTATAAAGCAGAGCCACGGCACAGCAGGCGCTAAAGCCACCACCTCCAAGCCACGTGCCACCCTGCGACTGGAGACCATGGCGCGGTGGTTCGCGTCCCCGCATCTTGCCCCGCTGGTGCTGCTGCTACTGCAGCTGCTGTCACCATCGACTGGTGAGCGCGACCTCTGTCTGGTTCAGGAGGCAGAGTGCTGGACTCGTCGTGGGGTCGCGCATCGCCTTCTGTGAGGGGAGCCCAGGGGAGCCCAGGGGAAGCCCAGGGGCCACGTGCGCTTCGTGACTCTGCTCCGTACGCACTTCGGCTTCAAACGCGGCCCGAAACCGTGCCATTATCCGTCCATTGCAGGCGTGTTTAGCCCGCACTAATCGGGTACGGAGAGCGAGACGCCTTGCAGTGGCAGGAGCGGCCAGGCTGTGCGCGGTTTAATGTATCGCTATTTAAACTTGCACTGTAATCCAGGGACTGTCTTGGTATGGTTTGGGACTTGTTGTTTTACTGCCTTTCCTCAATACTTTCATTTGGTCTTGTCAAATCGGAAGACTTGCGTGTGTTTTTTTTAATTGTGCAATTTGTACTTGTATACTTTATTTGTATTTCTAGCGACTTGCTTACATGTGTTTCTCCATCTTGCACTCCTGTCGTAGTTTTGTGAGGTAACTCGCGAATCCCTCGTCCAGATTGGGAATCTGGAAACGGCGTCGTAGCTTCATCGGATTCCTCCTCCCCAAGCTAAATATTCTAAATGCCATGTGCCAGCAACCATTTTATAATTTTTACTCGATTTTTTTTAACTGAAGAAATTGTCTGTAACTCAACGGCTACTATCAAACTACATTTTCGTACACTTTAAACAACTATCGTGGTGTTCATCTCTTGACATTAATTCTCATCTGGTCCCCCCACAGAGGAACGCGTGCAGACTCCCAACTCTCATCATTCACCCCGACTCTACTCTCCTCTACGTATACTGTTATGATAAAGGGCCATTGCCCGAACCGTCGCCTATAACATACATTTCATTTCAAGGCCACGGGTGGTATTTACGAAGGTGTTTTTCCGTTGCTCGGCCTGTTTGTGTCCGCATGAACGCCGACTTCCCTCACTACCAAGTCGCATCCCACCCATCTGTCCCGAAGCTGTTTGGTCAACACAGCACCGCGTGCTGCGGGCAATCTCTTCGCCCCCCCCCACATCCAGCGGCTGCCCTGACCGTAATGGCGGCGGGTGGCTCCCCCGTAGTCGTTATATCCCATGCTGCCCACTGCACGGGGGACGCTTTATAGTTGTCATTCGCAAGAAGTTAGGCCATTGTGCCGGCATCTGGTCCAGATCTTCCCGCAAATTACTCGCTCGAGGGTTTGTGCCCTCGCCCTCGACTGGCGAAGCGATGCCACCCCCAGGTCACGCTGACAATGAGGCTCCTGCTGGTCTCTTTGGTCGAACCAGGTGAGAAGTCCATCAACCTGAACCCTGAGCAAACGGCGAGGGCCCTTCTGGCCCGACTCCCGCGAACCCCCCAATCCACAAACCACGGTCGTCCACCTCCCATCAACGTGGCATCGATAGCCGCGCCCGTGCCACGCCGCGCCCGTGCCAGGGTTACGCGCAAGGCGGAATGACGCCCATCTCGCGAACGCGCCTCGATTTTGTTTTTGATCGTAATCCTTTTTATCGGTTTCCCCCGACCAGTTGCCCTGAAGCTCGGCTCTTGCCCTACGCCGCCCCCTGATGCCGTGGGGACGTGCGACGAGGCGTGCAAGGACGACGAGAGCTGCCCCGGGGAGCAGAAGTGCTGCAGCAACGGCTGCGGCCACGGCTGCGTGGAGCCACTCGCACTGCACCCCGTTGACCCACGTACGTGGACCCCCCCCCCCCCCACCACTCCTGTACCCCCCCCCACTCCTCCAACACTCCCCCCACCGCACATCTCCAACCCCGCCCCTACAAGGCGTGTCTCGGTATAAAGTTTTGTAGCCACGAGGGGTCTGCCCCCCCCCCACCTCGAATGCCACCCGGCTGGGTGGCACAGGGGCAAGGCCCGCACCTCGCAGCCAGCAGGGGCCCGCGTGGCCACGTGGAGGCTTGTGTGGCTCCTTCCCTCTGCTCTGCGTTGCTGTTTCTTCCCAATTTAGCTTTGTAAGAAGAAAAGACGCAACGGTAATATAGCTTGTAACTGGTATGAACCAATCACGTTGTAATGATGAAACATTACCTGCAAGTTTATAGGGCAACACCGCTTCCGACTGTTGGGTTTTGTTGATTGACAGGAAAGCGTTGAACTCCTTCGCCAACGTGGCCACCCCTTCCCTGGAGCCTGTCTCGTCGTGCCATGCTTTTACACGACCCTTGTGGGCAACCCCTTAGGGTGGATGTGGACTTTTGAGGGACTTTGCTACCTTCTTTTTTATACGGACTCTGTGGCTATTGAGGGACCAGGTCAAGGTTGACAACATCAAGTAAGGGAGGCACCAAGATGCCGTGAGCATAATTATGCGATATCAAGCCACGTGGGGGGCACTTGGTCAATGCGGAATCCTTGGCACAAGGCGGCGTTTCTCGTGCTGGGGTTTTTGTTGTTGGTTAATCGGAAGGCAACAACGTGGGGCTCCGTTGCCCCTTTCTCCGCGTTCGCGCCGCAGTCCCAGACAAGCCCGGCGAGTGTCGCTACGTCAACACCGCGCTCGTCCGCTGCTCCATCAAAGCCGCCATCGACGAGTGCAAGCAGGACTGGCAGTGCCCGGGCAAGCAGAAGTGCTGCAACGTGGGGTGCAAGTTAAAGTGCAGCAAACCAGGTACGCCCGGCCACCCTCTCTCTCTCTCTCTTCTCTCGTCCAGCCAAAGAGAGCTCGTGCCCTCTTCACCATCATCATCGTCATTACCATCAGCAGCCATGACGTTTCCACTGCTGCGTGAAGGCTCCAATTTGTCTTCGATGCGTCACCCCTGGCATTGTCGTCACTTTGCTGCTCCACCTTCGCCTTGTTTACGGCCATAAACCCGAGTGCAGCTGCTGACTTAGCCGTTGCTGTGCATTTGGGTGTTGTTGTTTTTGCAGTCAAAAACAAGCACGGATTTTGTCCGTACGTCGACACCAGGCTCATCAAATGCGCGTTCCGGCCCGACCTCAACAAATGCCAGCAGGACTGGCAGTGCCCTGGCAAAGAGAAGTGCTGCAGCTCCGGCTGCGCCATGATCTGCACTCAGCCAGGTACGCAAGCCTCTATCGTGACCCAGCTAGGGGAAGGAAGGTCCATGCCATTTTATTTTTCCCATCGGCAGCCATGATATATCTATTACTGGATGAAAGCCTTGCCAACTCTCACTGACTTTTATGAAGCAACAGTTCATCGGCTCCTCTCGTCTGTCCACGGTGGACATCACCTCGGACACGTTCCCTCCTTTAGCTGCCACTCCATTAGTCTCGACCACTGGCCATGTCGAGTTGCGTGTTGCTTAGGAGGGATGATGGCACTTGCCATCACGCCCACGTGCCATCACGTCCACTTGCCATCACGTCCACGTGCCATCACGTCCACTTGCCATCACGTCCACTTGCCATCACGTGCCATCACGTCCACGTGCCATCACGCCCACTTGCCATCACGCCCGCGTGCCATCACGTCCACTTGCCATCACGTGCCATCACGTCCACTTGCCATCACGTCCACTTGCCATCACGTCCACGTGCCATCACATCCACTTGCCATCACGTCCACTTGCCATCACGTGCCATCACGTCCACGTGCCATCACGCCCACTTGCCATCACGCCCGCGTGCCATCACGTCCACTTGCCATCACGTCCACGTGCCATCACATCCACTTGCCATCACGTCCACGTGCCATCACGTCCACGTGCCATCACGTCCACTTGCCATCACGTCCACTTGCCATCACGTCCACGTGCCATCACGCCCACTTGCCATCACGCCCGCGTGCCATCACGCCCACTTGCCATCACGTCCACGTGCCATCACGTCCACTTGCCATCACGTCCACTTGCCATCACGTCCACTTGCCATCACGTCCACGTGCCATCACGTCCACGTGCCATCACGTCCACGTGCCATCACGTCCACGTGCCATCACGTCCACGTGCCATCACGTCCACGTGCCATCACGTCCACGTGCCATCACGTCCACTTGCCATCACGTCCACTTGCCATCACGTCCACTTGCCATCACGTCCACGTGCCATCACGTCCACGTGCCATCACGCCCACGTGCCATCACGCCCACGTGCCATCACGCCCACGTGCCATCACGTCCACTTGCCATCACGTCCACTTGCCATCACGTCCACTTGCCATCACGTCCACTTGCCATCACGTCCACTTGCCATCACGTCCACGTGCCATCACGTCCACTTGCCATCACGTGCCATCACGTCCACTTTCCACCACGTCCACGTGCCATCACGTCCACGTGCCAATGATGTCTCCTAACACCTTCTCTAATTCTTGTTCATGCACCCGGCTCTAAAACTTCTCATTTAGTTGAGTTTGCAATTTAATATAGAAAATATATTAATCGTGTTAATTGTGCGACCACTTTAAAGTGTTCCAATAACGCAAGCACAGGTTGTCTGAACTCTACCTTCTATTATTTTGGTTGAGCTTTTCCAGACGGCTCGCCAGGCAAGATGCTCCTTGTACTTGCCGGCTCAAATGGCTTCATGCCCGATCTGCTCGTCCCCTCGTGCTTGTGCGGTGCGTGTTCCAGTGAAGGCTGGGTCGTGCCCGGTCCGGGACTTCTCGAACATCGTCTGCATCCGCTATAACGACGGCTGCAGCAGTGACGACGACTGCCCTGACAAGCAGAAGTGCTGCAGCGTCCCGTGTGGGGTGGGCTGCGTGGATCCAGAGCCGGGTGAGATTGGGCCCCCCCCCCCCCCCACGACCACCAGGGGGAACGGGAGACATCTGTGGAGTTCCCGGCAGTTTCCGAGCGAGCACCTGTGTTGTGCTATTTGGAGATGAAATCCACATGATGAGCTTATTATTAGTGTACGAGAGTTGGCGTCCGTATTCTTATAGCTGGATCGATTCCCGTCATGTACCAGCCAAGCTGAATAGTAGATTTTGGGGGAGGGGGGGCGGGCGGGCAGCTTCACTTTGGGACGACCTGCCCAGTTGCTCACGAGTCTGGGTTTATAATTCTTCTGCTTGTTTTGTTTTAACTTTTCAGTGAAGGACCAGATCGGGAAGGAGTCTGATGAAGAGGAGAAGGAGGAGTAGAGTCCACGCCCAGCAGCTCCACGTGCTTCTTGTTGCTGCTGCTGCTGCTCCCGCTGCAGAGCGTCTCTCGTCCCGTGTCTGGGGCTTCGCGGTGACGCGACCGAGCTCGCTCGCGCCGGCTATCTGGATGCAGCCGCTCGCTATGGCAATTCAACAGCTCCCGTTGGCTGTCCAATAAAAGTGCTTTGCGCTGAATGCTGTTCAAGTGGCCCAGTGTCGTCCTTGTGCTGTGCTGTGCCTTCTGTGGTGCCGCGGGAGAGAACATCGCGCTTCCTGTGACTCCGAGCACGGAATATTCCAAATATTTGTGCAGTACCCCAAGAAGGGAATCAATATTTGTAGACCACCCCCACCCCCACCCCACCCTTGGTGTACTGGCCAGGGAAGGTAGAATACAACACTCGCTGAATTAATTGGCACCAAACGGACCGTATGAAACGGTCAAACAACCTTGAAAGCCAAAAAAACTATTGATTTACAAATAGATTTTGAAACGTTTTCAATAAAAAAATGGATGGATATGGACGTCTATACTCTTAGGTTTTTTTTTGTAAAGTCACATAGGTAAAAAAATAATAGAAATAAAATGAAAATAAATCAAATAAATCACGACGTTTTGGAGACAACACGAGTCTCCGTCTTCAGGTGGGACCGTCACAGCTAAATTTACTGTATCAGTACATTGATTTATTTTCATTTGTTATTATTTTATTTTTTACCTACGTGACTTTACCGAAAAAACCTAAGAGTATGAATCCTTGCAGTCATGAAAGCTTCAAATCTAGAAATGGACGTCTATACCAATACACTTGACCATAAAGCATTCACTTTTGCCAGCGTCAACTGGCCACGTTATTTACGTAAGGTTAAAAAAAATCTTCTTGGTAGCAGAGTTGGTATCCATGTGAGCTGGTGAGGCGTGGGCACGACCTGGAGCCGCGGAGGAAGCCACAGCTTCTGAAGGGGGGCGACTCCATCCCTAAAGCGGGAGGCTCTCCACGGCAAGAAAGTGGAAGACGGCGTGGACGAGAGGGATCCGCTTGGGTTGAGTGAGGAGCGGCTTCGCTCGCTACCGGGAACCGTGGAGCTTGTGTAGTGGGTTCGAATTAGGTGCACACACACGCAGCTTGGAGACAACACTATTTATTAAACGTTAAGTAATATAACACTGTACATGAGGTGGTGACCACCTTCCTCAACTCACTAATCACTCTGGAACACGACACAGACTGGACCAGGCGACGGGCTGCCTGGTCCAGGACGACGACCCGGGACTTGAGGACCGATGATGTCGTCTTCACTTCGGAGTTCAACAGCCACGCTCTGCATCCACACCACGCTTATATTCGCTCCGGCGTGGCCGACTCCGCCCAGGCCACGCCTCCCTTCCCAGGCCACGCCTCCCCCCACCTCACGGGAAGGTCTGGGTCCCTCCACCACGTGACCACCTAGGCACCCCCTTGGGGCCCCCAGCCCTCGTACGGGCCGACACAGTAGTGACGTCCTATGTCACTACACTTGCATGGTGCAGTGCGGCTCGGGGCGCACTGCACCCGGAGTAAGAGGCGCAGGGAGAGGGTCCGCAGAGTGCACATGGGGGGACATGAAAGGGGGTCCAGGCTTCAAGCGGTGAGCTCGGGGGTTAGACGAGGGGGTTGGGGTGGACAAAACATGGTCGTACAAATTTGAAGTTTTGTGGTGGTTCGGCTGTGGGGTCGAGCTCAGACGTGAACAATTCACTTGCGGTTTGAGCAAGTGATGGAGTGGGGGACGTGAACTGGGATGGGGAATGGGTGATGTGATTTTTTCCGGTTAAATCATATTAATCGTGGCACCAATTTATATGAAATCGGGTCTGTCACTTGAATTTGGTTGTTTAAAAATATATACATACGTAAAACGGTGGCAGCCAAGGAATGGATGAGATCCGCTTGTATGCGGGATGGATTGTTACATCGAATTGTAAGGTGTTGGTAGCTTGGGAAAGGCCTTGATTCAGCAGTTGATTGAACATGGCCGATGAGGTCTTCATATGTCCATTGTTCAGTGGTGGCCTTCCTTGTGGCGGAACGAAACGGCTGGCCCCTTCCGTGTACTGTGGGAGGAGGGTTCGAGCAGGTCCAGGGCCGCAGTAGGCGGAGTAACAAACGGGAGAGTCCTCGAGGTACTGCCCCTGGGAGACGGAGCGATGGCTGCCGCGGTTCGTTGCCATGTGAAGGAGAACGCGGTTTGGTTTCTTCACGGGACCCACGTGGAGCTGCTCTTGCCGGTTGTCGCGACCGCGTGGCTCTGCGGGCGCACTGCATTGTGGGCAGTGTTGGAGCGGCCCGAGCCTGACTCCGATATTACATCCACTCTTGTGTGCGCGCACCAACCCTCTGTTTAACCAGGAGATGAAATGCACTCGTGGAGTTGCCTGAAACGTCGCCTGTGTCCATGGTGCACTCCGCACGAACGCAACGCCGACAGTGCTCGCTGCACCATGCACACCCTGCACGCAGAGACACGTGACCCACAAGACCGGACTGAGAATCCTGAAACTCGCACTGCGAGCGGAGCACGTGATGAAGACGAGTTCAAGACTCGCCCGGCAGGAACGCTTTACACGATTAGCAATGCACATGAAACAAAACAAAAATCGGGTTCTCGCGTGAATATGACTGAGATGTCATCACGGGTGCATAAATGATAGGCCAATCGGGGCCCATGGAATTCCGTCCAATCAGGAGGATGGGACGGGCTTTAAGAGAGGAGGCGACACGTCTTGACCAGGTGAGGAGTGAGCCAGGTGAGGAGTGAACCAGGTGAGGAGTGCGGATGCAACCCACGTGCGTGGCGCTTCATCGGCGCTCAGCGTTGGGTGCTGTTCCCACTGTTCCGGTTCGTGGTTCGCTGAAGCCGTGGTCCTGTCGCAAGGATAGTCATTATTTCACTGCCGCAATTAGTGGTCGAATACGGGGATTTTGTATTTGGAGTCATTGTTCTGGGCCTGCGAAGAAGACAAGGACGTGTTAACTAATAAGGTCTTGAATGTCGCGCGTGCACGCATTCTTTGATAACTACACATGTGTAGTGAGTTCGAGGAGACGAGGTCGGAGTTGAGGCACACTCTTTTTATTAACTCAGGGACAGACACAATAGTTGAAGGGGTAACGGCCCCTTCACCCGTACTATGGGGAAACCCACCCTAGTACTAAGCCCTCTGTCCTGTTCCCAAGTCCTCCTCTTAATGGGCTACGGGAGGCTGTCTGATTTGGCCCTGGTAAGCACAGATCCCGGCACCAGCTAAGCCGGCCCTGCCCTCACAAGGGCAGAGGTCCGGGAGCTCTTGGGCCGCGCCACTGGCTTACCCAGCTCGGCCCTGAAAAGGGCAGCGAGACAGGGGAGTCCCAGGGCCTAATCTCCGACTCTTCGATCTTCACTGGTCAGCTTCGTGTCGAACTGGCCTCGAGCTCTCTGGCTCCCCGCCTTTTATAGAGATCCCCTTAGAGGGGCGGGGTCGTGGGGGATAACGGATGCGGACGTCGGTGTGGCCACCCGTGTGTGCGAGTGCAGACACCCCTGTGTTTCTCGTCCGCCGTTTCTCCCGTAATAACCCCTACACATGGATGACATTATTGTACACACACACGCGCGCCAAGCCGCTAACAGACATACGGTATTATTAATTGCCGTGCTTCAGTGTGATGGGCTTTGATTGGTAGAGCGTGCCATTGTGTAGTAATTGTGCTGAGTGTGAGAAGCTGTTGAGTGGAGATGCGTTTGAACTGACTACCGCCAGCATGACGCTGCCGTTCCCATCTCACAAGCAATTGGCAGGTGACATGCGGTGGGGTAAAGTGTGGGTACCCCCCTTTTCCTCTTCTAAAATGTTTGGGCAGCGGTGGGAGGAAGAGTAGGCCAAATACACTGGAGATCGCTAGAGCTTAATTTACTCAGTTCGCACCGTACGTAACCAACCGTAGTGGAGGTCTCTTCTGCCAGCAGTGGGGTGAGGCGAGCAGTTGCAGAGCTGCACCTGTACCGCACGCACGGCAATTACCGAGTTATATTGTTGTTGTGTCTCGATATGTGGTGACACGGTTGTTGCGTCTCTCGTTATGGTTATGAAGTCGTCGTGAACTCACTCCGCAATGTAAAACAACGAAGCCGCGGTGACGGCATCGCGGCGTGCATGATGGTGGGGGGGATGCCATCCAACTCCCGCCCCCCTCCCCGTCGCCGCACGACTCCCGACTCACGCGTGGAGCGCCGCCCGTCGCTCTTCGCGGCGAGGAGCTCAGCTCAGCCGAGCCACGGGAGGTCGCAGAACCTCCCCATCAGTGTGGGACTGTGGTCATACAGAACGGCCACCAACACCAGTGACGATTATCTAAACCCGTCCTGAACCTCCCCTAGGTCCACTCAGCCTAAAACAACTAAAGACCTAGTGCGTTCTGTAAACTATTAACCGAGGGACTACTGGCTTTCCGTTGCTCCCCCACTCTATCCCGCACGTTCCCTCTCGCCTTGGTCCCCATTCGTCAACAGGCGACCTCCGCCCACGAGTTCCTCCGACTCGCTCCTGAAGCTCGCTGGTCTCGTTCCCGAGCTCCCCCCGCGACCCCAGCCCCCCCCCCTCGCAGCCACCACCGTCACTGGTCCCCTCTGACAGATTCTCAGCATACGCGATCACTCATCAACCCCATTCAGCACATCCATCATTGAATGGGGATGTTTGAGTTGATTTGTTTGGGTGATTTTGTTTAACTCTCTTGCACTTCTGCCGTGGTGTTGGATTGTTTGTTGAAATGTTCTTACCCCATGCCCCGACGAGACATCTGTGAAAAAGAGCTTCATAGCTCATCGGATTCCTCCAGGATAAAAAAAAATCCGATTGTGAAACAAGGGGCCGTCCATACATGACGTCATGCACCTTGTGACGATGTGACGAGGGGGGGGGGGGTGAGAAATGTGACGTCACATCAAAATGCGTAACTTTAAATAAATATAAACGCGTTCTACTTAATTTAATAGTAGTTTTAATAAATGTTTTCTACTACAACATCAGAGTGCAGCGCCACATTAAATACGCACTACAATGACAATAGTTAAAGCGATTTGAAGCATGTTTTTTGGGGGGGGGGGCAGAGCTTTGTGACGTCATATTTGAGAGGGGGTCTGACTCTTTGTGAGGCCGTGTGACAAAGGGGGAGGGGGTAAAAAATCGTCCAAAATCGCGTGACGTCATTTATGGACGGCCCCCAACACCACGAGGGAGACAAAGGCGGCCGAGCGTAGTGCTGGCACACCCGCCCCCGAGTGTACCATTCCTGCCTTTACCGCTGCCACTCGCTAACATCACTTGCTCCAAAAGTCTGTTGAGGCTATACGGGGGATCTTTGTCTCGTGCTCCACTCTTGGGGTGAGCGGGTGAGTGGCCGGGGTGCTGGGAGGGGGGACGAGCGAGAGGAGGTTGGAGGTGGAGGAGGGGGGGGAGAGGTGGGAGAGGGGGGGGATGGTGGAGGAGGAGGGGGGGGAGAGGTGGGCGGGGGGAGGATGGAGGAGGGGATGGAGCAGCTTTATAAATCTGCAGGAACCAGCAGCAGCAGCCTCAGACGCCACCACGACGACGACGATGATGGCTCGGGTCTCTGCTTCGTCCCGACTTGCTCTGCCGATGATGATGATCGCGATGCTGCAGCTGCTGCTGCAGTCACCGTCGGCAGGTGAGTGCCACTGCTGCTGTTCTGTTGGAAGTCTAACTTCGCTCGGTACGTAGCCAGCCGTGATAATCGGATGTGTTGACGTTGGGGAGAGAGAGAGAGAGGGTGTCGCGATAGAACAGAGCTGGATGCATCGCATTGACAACACTCGCCCGTCACCTTCGTGCAGCGCCTCCCACGCGCGGGTGGAATCCGAGGGCTCTCACGACAGACATTACCTAGGAATGAAATTGAGAAAGATGCATCGGAGGAACAAACTGAGGAGCGCTCGGGGCTGCAGCCCCCAGGCATCACATTTCTGAGGGTCGAAGCAATGCAACCCTCCCGGTCATTTCGGTGAACAGCGAAACTGCAGCACTTAGGTCCACTTTAGAGGCAGCCTAATCTGGTGACTGAAGCCACAATGTCTGTGTGTGTGTGTCACTACGACATGGTGCTGGTCTTAAGCAAGTCCACTCAGCTCCACATCCTCCGTACCATCGCTTCTTCAGCCCGTGCCTCGCCCATGTAGCCCTCTCTCTCCAGCCCAAAAGAAGCTGATTGTGCATTGGTTGGGCATGCGGGGTACATCGCCCAGCCAACGCAGCTTTGCCTGCCGGAGAAGCTCGTGATGGGACTGTTCAGATCTTTCAAGGATCTGCGAGCTCCTCACACAATCCAGCCTGGTTAAAACCAGGATGGATCGTAGGCAGGTCAGCCGGAATATTTCTAACCGGTGCAGGTGATCGATTGGAGGGATCCACGTTTCTCAAGCATGGAGAAGGGAAGGCATAACTATGGCAGAGAAAACCCGAAGCTTCGCGTGGAGCGACATGCCAGGTAGCTTCCACACAGAATTACGCAGCTGATGAAAAAATGCCGCTCCTCTGTGGAGGAGGCTCGTGAAGGACGCTACTGGGAAGTTGGAGGCAGTCATCCTCCAACCACAGCAGAGGGTAAAGGGGCGACGCTCACAATAGCGAGCGGAGAGTCAGGCAACTAAAACGCAGAGAGGTGGCAGATCAGGGGGTGCAGGTGGTGCATCTGCCAGTCATCTCAGGCAGTCAACCCATAGCACCTGGGTATTTTCCGTGACCTGTCAGCGAGCCTTCCACACTTCACGTGGCCTCAACGTGTACCTAGCTTGGTACAAGCGCTGTGCTGACATCACTGCTACTTAGCGGCGAATGGCGCCTTTTATTATCGTGTTACGACCGAATATTTTCTCTCTAACGTTGATTTGGCTTCACAATGCGTGTATCAGATTTACAGATCCGGAGCTGAATTGACCGAGGTAAATAACAGTGGAGGTGTTTGCTATTATCGGGCATGGGTGGTGGTGAAGTAGTCAAGGCAAGGAACGGATTGCACAACTAAGGCGTCCTCCCCAAAGAATGAGTGCCCCGGGCCCCCTACACTTAACCTGGCCCTGCCCACGAGCACATGAGACCTTCGATTCCAAACGGCCCACGAGCGATGTCCATCAGCGAGCGATGTCCATCAGCGAGCGATGTCCATCAGCGCTGCCGGCGTCTTGGCCGCACGAATCGACTCCTCGGGAAGAATGTGAGCTGCAGACTCCGTGTTGAGTTCGCCCGGTCACCACTGTCGCTGCAAGGAAGAGAGACGTTCTCCAGCCTGATGTGAATATTCGATGTCCAGTATAGATCTTGGGGAGGGGCCGAGTGACCGTCGGAGATGTTTCTGCGGAAAGAGTGACGGCGGGTACAGCGGTGCGTGACGAGGCGCTCCGTTGTGCGAAAGGCGACGCGGGGATCTTTGCATTTGTCGGCCGAGCGTCACTCCGCCAAGGCAGCCCCGGCTCCGCCTGGGGCTCAGCCCTCGCACCGCACAACGCTGCGGTGCTCAGCGCCTTCTGTCCGGCTGGGGCGACCCTCGCTGCGTCTCTGCCTGCTAGTCGCGTGCCTGCTCGTGTGCCCTGACCAGGGTGACAGTGCCCTGACCAGGGTGACGGTGCCCTGTTTCTATTTCGATTTCCCCGACCAGTGGCCGTGAAGCCCGGCTCCTGCCCTACGCCGCCCCCTGGCGCCGTGGGGACGTGCGACGAGGCGTGCACGGACGACGAGAGCTGCCCCGGCGAGCAGAAGTGCTGCAGCAACGGCTGTGGCCACGGCTGCGTGCAGCCGCAGGTCCTCGGGCCGAGCGGCGTGAAGTTGCCGGTTCTCAAGCCGATCCAAGTGGAGCTGGGAGAGGCGAGCCTGAGCAACGGGACGCTCCGAGGTCGGTCGAGTTTCTCACGGCACTCTGCGGACGAACAGAAGTCACCCTCGTCGGTGTAGGGGGGAGCGGTTGGGATGGGCGGGTGGAGGAGGGTTGCGACATATTGCAAGGTGGAGCGGGCGGGCGTAGTCGGCTGCTATTGCTCTGAAGAATTGGTACTCACCCCCTTGTGCTCCCCCCTGTGACCTCTCTACCCCCCCCGTGACCCCTGTGCCCCCCCCCGTGACCTCTGTACCCCCCCCGTGACCTCTGTGCCCCCCCGTGACCCCTGTGCTCCCCCCCGTGACCTCTCTACCCCCCGTGACCCCTGTGCCCCCCCCCGTGACTTCTGTACCCTCCCCCGTGACCTCTCTACCCCCCCCTGACCCCTGTGCTCCCCCCTGTGACCTCTCTACCCCCCCGTGACCCCTGTGCCCCCCCCGCCCCCCCACTTGCCTGTGTGTAGGCAGAGTGGATCCAGAGGTGAGGCCCGGGTGCTGTCGGAACCCGGGCCCCTTCCTCACCAAAAACTGCGATTGTAAGAACGACCTCTGCCACAGCGACGGCGAATGCCCCGGCGTCCGGAAGTGCTGCCCGCACCCGTGTGGGAATCGCTGTGAAGACGTGAAGTCAGGTGGGAGGGACGCATTGGGACACGGGGCATGGGGGGACAGGGAGACACAGAGGGACACGGGGGACATGGGATGTGGGGAGAGAGGGGGACAAAGAGGGACACGGGGACACAAGACACGTGGCCAATTTGTCACTGCTGTTCCACCGGGCGTCGCGTCATCAAGCGGCGTACAACCACACCGCGCATCTCGGACAAGGTGCGCAGATCGACAGGCACGTGTTCACATCGACAGGCGCGTGTTCACATCGACAGGCGCGTGTTCGTATGTGCACGGTTGGACGGATCCATGGAGATCGTGCGGACTGATGTCAACTGAGGAATCGGAAGCGTCGCCACCACCCCCAGGGTGAAGGTTACCGTCGCCTGCTCCTTGTCATGAATGGGGGGGAGGTGACTGGGCCTTGAGTGACAGGTGGAGGGAGGAGCCTGGGGAGAAACAGACAGGAAGGGAGGAGCCAGGAGGGGTGCTCGGGCGCCGTGATTTTAATATAAAGCAGTGGAAGAGTGAGACGGGCGCCTCCAACCCAACCCCATCGTGTGCTGCTGGGAACCTCGAGGGCGACGCGGGGCACCCGTTCATATTCTGCAGTGCTAAGAGAGAGGATGAATCTGGGTCTGCACAAGTCTGTTGAGCCCGGAGGTGCGAATAAGTTGATGGTTGGGAGTGTAGGGATGATGGGGGGGGGGGGTGTGGAGCCGGAGAAACGCGCACACAGGAGCAGGTTTAAAGCATCTTTATGATATATCTGTATTATATATCTTTATGATATATAATGCAGGTGTAGAGCAGGACTCGGTCCCCCGGCTTCAAGGATCACTCTCTCGCTACCCCCCCCTCTCTCCCCAAGCTACCCCGCACGTCTCTGCTACAGCCCCCTTCTTCCCGCTCCCCTCGGGACATCGTCTCCCAACTCTCTCCCCTTCTCCCTTCCGGTCCCCCGTTTTTATCCCCCTTCTTCGGGCTCCTTTTCCGTCCCCCTTCCCACACTCGCCCCTCGCTCGCTCCTCGCGGCACTCCTCTACACAGATGTAGTGTCAGCAATTTGGAGACAAGAGTTTCCAGGAGGCACCTTCTTTATTCAACACCTTCACACTTCACAGGTTCGCCCGTACACTCTCCGTGGTCGCCTAGCCTAGCCTAAACACAACCCTGACCGTGTAACACTGACGGCGCTGACCGAGACGGCCAACAACTCTCCGGCCGTGCAAAATCTAGCGAAGACGGCAGCGACGAAGGCGGCAAGACGACAGAGACGACGAGACGAGTCCAGTCCGAGAACCGGCAGCCCTGAGCTCCCGCTCTCAGCTCTTTTTATGCTCCCTGCATGGCCTGGCTCCGCCCTGGCCGCGCCTCCGTTCTCGAACCCTCCAGCAGGTTCCAAGGGCTTCCAGATGGGGTCTTCCATGACCCTTGCCCCAGTTCCTCCGCCCTGCCGACACACCCATGTATATGCTCACCGGCGTGTGTACTGTTTGTCCACCGCAGTTGCCGCTACTGGGCACCAGCCGGCACTATTACACTACACAGGTGTGCAGACGTGAGCCATGGATCAAGGCCATGGCCATAAAATGACTTTTCAAATGTTATCGGAGAGTGGAGGGCAGAAAGTTAGTTTACATTCGTGATATTTCAGGTAACTTGGTGAACTGGTCAAGTGTTTTCCAATTCTCAACAGGTGTGTGCCTTGGTTAAGTGATTTCTGAGTAGGTTAATTTTTAAAGGTACAGTACGGGTTCGTGTGCGTGATTGTATTTTAGTTTTTTAGGCAGCGAAATAGCCCAGGAGAGATATTATTCACAGGTGATTTCAGAGTCCTTCAGGCAAAGAAAGATAATCCTGGAGCCGAGTGTTACAGGCAGATGGGTCGATACATAAAAGGTGTGAACAGGTTTCAATGTTACTGGCAGAGTCATAATTCGGCCACTCCCGGCCATCGCGGTGTCTGGTTGGTGGCCATGCCCCAACTCCGGTGTGTGCTTTCAAAGGGGGAGCGTTCGATGTCGATGACCCTCCCAGGCCTCCACATTTCTGCAACCTGACATCTTGCAGGCGTTCGACGGCTCCAGTACCGCCGAGTATGGAGGCTGGGAGTCTGAGGCTGCACGCTTTTCCCGAGTCTAGTTCAGGGGTCTAAGGCGGCAAGCTGCTCCTACATCGGAGCACGGGGGTCTGAGGCTGCGAGCCGATCGTGTACGAGGCCAGATCTGTTACCTGAGTCAAGACTCTACTGTGCGGTTGGGTGACTTCCAGGGCGAGACACGAGTTGTTGTGCTAAATATTAAAGCGTTCTTCGATTCGGTTGACTGTGTCGCAGAATGGCTGAGCACTAAGAGCTCGGGTGGGATGGACGGCTTTACGAGGGGTTTGGAGAGAAGTCCCAATGGACCCCGACAGAAGCGACGTAAATCTCACTGTCATTTGAGAGCCATGCTTCGTGGGTGCAGTTGCTAAAGTGGCCCTGGGGAGCGGTAACGTCGCAGTTAGCGCGTTGTGCCAGAAACCCGAGTTCGATTCCGCTCACACCAGTGACAATTATCTTAACCGGTCCGGGATTCCCTGAGGTCGACTAAGTCTCAAATGATGACCTGGTGCGGTGTGTAATCATCGCTGCTAGGGAGACAAAGGCGGCCTGATGTGGTGGACAACCACCCCCTGGTGTGCCAATCCGACCTTCGTAGGTGCTAAGAATACACGGGGGATCTTGGTCACTGTGCGATTGTTTCTCAGGGAAGCCCAAGGCCGGCGAGTGTCTGTTTGTGAACACGAGGCTCATCCGCTGCGCTTTCCAGCCCGGCGATTGCAGCGAGGACTGCCAGTGCCCCGGAGAGCAGAAGTGCTGCAACACGGGCTGCACGATGGCCTGCACCACGCCCGGTACGCCATCCTCCATCGTTTCAGGGACATGGGGACACAGCACATAGGGACGGACAATGAGACAGGGGGACAGGGATGCACATAGCATGGGGATACGGGGGACATGGGCAGAGCCGTCCCCGGGATACACGGCGAATCGGGGCGACCGCCCTGGGCCCCCACGTTTTGACGTCACGGCGTCAGATGTAACACTTCCGGTTTAATCTTGATTTTAAGCTTTCGTGACTGCAGAAATCCATACTCTTTTGTTCTTTCGGTAAAGTCACGTAGATAGAAAATTAATAGATCACGACGTTTAGATCGTAACACAAGCGACCGTCTTCAGGTGAGAGAGAGAGCTGCTGAGACGAGGCCTTGTGTAGGCCTGAGATGGGTGCAGCCTCAGGGAAGGAGGGCGGGGCTAGAGATGGTCTCCCTGAGGCTGTGGAAGTGGCTATTGAATTATGGGCATGGGCACATGGGTTGCACAGAAACATTGCACGCACACACAGGGTATGGGGACACGGGGGCTGCGCCGAGTGAGTTGCGGGTGCATTAAGATGCTCCGTAAACCAAATTTCGGCTTGTGGTTGTCGAACGTAACGGGTTGATGATGCACGTGGCCCGATTTCATTTCCCCCGCAGCGATCGTGAAGCCCGGCTCCTGCCCAGCGATTCCCGTTGGCTTCAAGCCGACGTGCAACATTCGCTGCCTCAACGACGACAGCTGCCTCGACGACCAGAAATGCTGCAGCAACGGCTGTGGCCGGCAGTGCTTGAGACCGGCCTCGGGTATTGGTGAGTGTGTAGAGAGAGTGCTGTGCCAGGCACGCTCACCAGTCGCTCACCGCCTCATCACGCCGAGCATGCTCACCAGTCGCCTTGTTATTTGAGAGCAGCTGCTGCGTGGGTGACGCTGCTGAGGTGGCCCTATCCCGTGCAATTGTTTCTCAGGGAGGCCCAAACCCGGCAAGTGTCCATTTGTGGAGACGGCGCTCACCCGCTGTGCTTTCCACCGCGACCTCAACGAGTGCAGCGAGGACTGGCAGTGCCCCGGGGAGCAGAAGTGCTGCAGCAACAGCTGTGGCCACGGCTGCGTGGAGCCAGAGGATCTCATTCTGAACGACGCAGAGCTGGGTAAGGCGAGCGTGAGCAACGGGATGGGCCTCGGTCGGTAGAGTTTGTAACGGCACCCTGGGGTTGTCCAGCAGTCCCCTCATCAGCGGGGGGGGAGAGTGTTGGGATTGGCAGGCAGAGGTGGCAGCGGTGGGGGTGGCTGGGCGGAGCGGTGGAGATGGGCGGGTGGAGGAGGGTGCGGCGGTGGGGATGGACGGGGAGCAGGTTCCCATCCTGGGGAGCGCTCCAGACGGGCAGCAGAAATAATTGCACTCCCTCCCTAGAAGGAAGGCCGTGGAACTGATGGGATTTCTTTCAAGGATACTTGTACATTTGTATATGGTGGAACATATATGGTAAGGAGGAGCAGGTGGGCATAGTCAACTTCTATTGATCTGAAGGATCGGTTCTCATCCCCCGCCCCCTTGACCCCTTTGTGCGACGGTGCCCTGACCAGGGTGACGGTGCCGTGACCAGGGTGACGATGTCCATGCTTCCAATTCGATTTCTCTGACAGTGGCCGTGAAGCCCGGCTCCTGCCCTACGCCGCCTCCTGACACCGTGGGGTCGTGCGACGAGGCGTGCACGGACGACGAGAGCTGCCCCGGCGAGCAGAAGTGCTGCAGCAACGGCTGTGGCCACAGCTGCGTGCAGCCGCAGGTCCTCTGGCTGAGCGATGTGAAGTTGCCGGTTCTCAAGCCGATCCCAGTGGAGCCGGGTGAGGCGAGCGTGAGCAACGGGAGAGTTTGTAACGGCCCCCTGGGGCTGTCGAGCTGTCCCCTCGTCGGTGGGGATGGGCCGGTGGAGGGGTGGGACACACAGAGGAGGTCGTCGAATATCCGGCGGCTTCGAGGGGAAGGGGGTGCCGGATTTTCAAAAACGTCAGGTGTTTACTTCATTATTTTAAAGTAACTTTTTCTCCAGATTCCTGTATAGCATGTTTTTAGGTGTATATGTACAGTCAGGGAAAAAAGTATTTGATCCCCTGCTGATTTTGTACGTTTGTCCACTGACAAAGAAATGATCAGTCTATAATTTTAATGGTAGGTTTATTTGAACAGTGGGACAGAATAACAACAAATATATCCAGAAAAACGCATGTCAAAAATGTTATAAATTTATTTGCATTTTAATGATGGAAATAAGTATTTGACCCCTCTGCAAAACATGACTTAGTACTTGGTGGCAAAACACTTGTTGACAATCACAGAGGTCAGACGTTTCTCGTAGTTGGCCACCAGGTTTTCACACTTCTCAGGAGAGATTTTGTCCCACTCCTCTTTGCAGATCTTCTCCAAGTCATTAAGGTTTCGAGGCTGACGTTTGGCAACTCGAACCTTCAGCTCCCTCCACAGATTTTCTATGGGATTAAGGTCTGGAGACTGGCTAGGCCACTCCAGGACCTTAATGTGCTTCTTCTTGTGCCACTCCTTTGTTGCCTTGGCCGTGTGTTTTGGGTCATTGTCATGCTGGAATACCCATCCACGACCCATTTTCAATGCCCTGTCTGAGGGAAGGTTCTCACCCAAGATGTGACGGTACATGGCTCCGTCCATCGTCCCTTTGATGCGGTGAAATTGTCCTGTCCCCTTAGCAGAAAAACACCCCCAAAGCACAATGTTTCCACCTCCATGTTTGACGGTGGGGATGGTGTTCTTGGGGTCATAGGCAGCATTCCTTCTCCAAACACGGCGAGTTGAGTTGATGCCAAAAAGCTCCATTTTGGTCTCATCTGATCACAATACTTTCACCCAGTTGTCCTCTGAATCATTCAGATGCTCATTGGCAAACTTCAGACGATCATGTATATGTGCTTTCTTGAGCAGGGGGGACCTTGCGGGCACTGCAGCATTTCAGTCCTTCACGGCATAGTGTGTTACCAACTGTTTTCTTGGTGACTATGGTCCCAGCTGCCTTGAGATCATTGACAAGATTCCTCCCGTGTAGTTCTGGGCTGATTCCTCCCCGTTCTCATGATCATTGCAACTCCACGAGGTGAGATCTTGCATGGAGCCCCAGGCCGAGGGAGATTTACAGTTCTTTTGTGTTTCTTCCATTTGAAAATAATCGCACCAACTGTTGTCATCTTCTCACCAAGCTGCTTGGCGATGGTCTTGTAGCCCATTCCAGCCTTGTGTAGGTCTACAATCTTGTCCCTGACATCCTTGGAGAGCTCTTTAGTCTTGGCCATGGTGGAAAGTCTGGAATCTGATTGATTGATTGCTTTTGTAAACAGGTGTCTTTTATACAGGTAACAAGCTGAGATTAGGAGCACTCCTTTTAAGAGCGTGCTCCTAATCTCAGCTTGTTACCTGTATAAAAGACACCTGGGAGCCAGAAATCTTTCTGATTGAGAGGGGGTCAAATGCTTATTTCCCTCATTAAAATGCAATCAATTTATAACCTTTTTTGACATGCGTTTTTCTGGATTTTGTTGTTGTTATTCTGTCTCACTGTTCAAATAAACCTACCATTAAAATTATAGACTGATCATTTCTTTGTCAGTGGGCAAACGTACAAAATCAGCAGGGGATCAAATACTTTTTTCCCTCACTGTACATGAATTTTTGTGTTTTTTTGTGTTTACTATGAAATTGGAATAAATAAACATCCGAATTATCCTACTATAAAAAGTTACTGTATTTGCGTGCTCATCAATTGCCGAAGAATGCCGGATCGCACTGTATATTTTAAGTTTTTATTACTGGAGTTATTAGTCATGAAAAATGTATTATACGTGCAGTATTTTCATTATTTAAGTTTTATGTAGTGTATAATGGTATATAATATTTGACACACATGGTTCCGATCACTGAACTGGTTACAGCCCTTGGAGCGGTTTTGCCGGATCGAACCAGAACCCCTGAATAATGGTAAAAGCTATACAATCGCGCCGGATAATTGATGATCAACTGTACATGGAAGGAGGAGCAGGCGGGACTAGTCGGCTTCTATTGGCCTGAAGGATCGGTTCTCACCCCCCGCCCCCTTGACCCCGGGGTGACCGCTGCCCAGAGTGACGGTGACCTGACCAGGGTGACGATGTCCATGCTTCCAATTCGATTTCTCTGACAGTGGCCGTGAAGCCCGGCTCCTGCCCTACGCCGCCTCCTGACACCGTGGGGACGTGCGACGAGGCGTGCACGGACGACGAGAGCTGCCCCGGCGAGCAGAAGTGCTGCAGCAACGGCTGTGGCCACAGCTGCGTGCAGCCGCAGGTCCTCTGGCTGAGCGATGTGAAGTTGCCGGTTCTCAAGCCGATCCCAGTGGAGCCGGGTGAGGCGAGCGTGAGCAACGGGAGAGTTTGTAACGGCCCCCTGGGGCTGTCGAGCTGTCCCCTCGTCGGTGGGGATGGGCCGGTGGAGGGGTGGGACACACAGAGGAGGTCGTCGAATATCCGGCGGCTTCGAGGGGAAGGGGGTGCCGGATTTTCAAAAACGTCAGGTGTTTACTTAATTATTTTAAAGTAACTTTTTCTCCAGATTCCTGTATAGCATGTTTTTAGGTATATATGTACAGTGAGGGAAAAACGTATTTGATCCCCTGCTGATTTTGTACGTTTGCCCACTGACAAAGAAATGATCAGTCTATAATTTTAATGGTAGGTTTATTTGAACAGTGAGAGACAGAATAACAACAAATATATCCAGAAAAACGCATGTCAAAAATGTTATAAATTGATTTGCATTTTAATGATGGAAATAAGTATTTGACCCCTCTGCAAAACATGACTTAGTACTTGGTGGCAAAACACTTGTTGACAATCACAGAGGTCAGACGTTTCTCGTAGTTGGCCACCAGGTTTGCACACATCTCAGGAGGGATTTTGTCCCACTCCTCTTTGCAGATCTTCTCCAAGTCATTAAGGTTTCGAGGCTGACGTTTGGCAACTCGAACCTTCAGCTCCCTCCACAGATTTTCTATGGGATTAAGGTCTGGAGACTGGCTAGGCCACTCCAGGACCTTAATGTGCTTCTTCTTGTGCCACTCCTTTGTTGCCTTGGCCGTGTGTTTTGGGTCATTGTCATGCTGGAATACCCATCCACGACCCATTTTCAATGCCCTGGCTGAGGGAAGGAGGTTCTCACCCAAGATTTGACGGTACATGGCACCGTCCATCGTCCCTTTGATGCGGTGAAGTTGTCCTGTCCTCTTAGCAGAAAAACACCCCCAAAGCATAATGTTTCCACCTCCATGTTTGACGGTGGGGATGGTGTTCTTGGGGTCATAGGCAGCATTCCTCCTCATCCAAACACGGCGAGTTGAGTTGATGCCAAAAAGCTCCATTTTGGTCTCATCTGACCACAACACTTTCACCCAGTTGTCCTCTGAATCATTCAGATGCTCATTGGCAAACTTCAGACGGGCATGTATACGTCCTTTCTTGAGCAGGGGGGACCTTGCGGGCACTGCAGCATTTCAGTCCTTCACAGCATAGTGTGTTACCAACTGTTTTCTTGGTGACTATGGTCCCAGCTGCCTTGAGATCATTGACAAGATCCTCCCGTGTAGTTCTGGGCTGATTCCTCACCGTTCTCATGATCATTGCAACTCCACGAGGTGAGATCTTGCATGGAGCCCCAGGCCGAGGGAGATTGACAGTTCTTTTGTGTTTCTTCCATTTGCAAATAATCGCACCAACTGTTGTCACCTTCTCACCAAGCTGCTTGAAGATGGTCTTGTAGCCCATTCCAGCCTTGTGTAGGTCTACAATCTTGTTCCTGACACATCCGTGGAGAGCTCTTTGGTCTTGGCCATGGTGGAGAGTTTGAAATCTGATTGATTGCTTTTGTAAACAGGTGTCTTTTATACAGTTAACAAGCTGAGATTAGGAGCACACTCTTAAAGGAAGTGCTCCTAATCTCAGCTTGGTACCTGTATAAAAGACACCTGGGAGCCAGAAATCTTTCTGATTGAGAGGGGGTCAAATACTTATTTCCCTCATTAAAATGCAATCAATTTATAACCTTTTTTGACATGCTTTTTTCTGGATTTTGTTGTTGTTATTCTGTCTCTCACTGTTCAAATAAACCTACCATTAAAATTATAGACTGATCATTTCTTTGTCAGTGGGCAAACGTACAAAATCAGCAGGGGATCAAATACTTTTTTCCCTCACTGTATATGTATTTTTGTGTTTTTTATTTGTTTACTATGAAATTGGAATAAATAAACATCCGAATTATCCTACTATAAAAAGTTACTGTATTTGCGTGCTCATCAATTGCCGAAGAATGCCGGATCGCACTGTATATTTTAAGTTTTTATTACTGGAGTTATTAGTCATGAAAAATGTATTATACGTGCAGTATTTTCATTATTTAAGTTTTATGTAGTGTATAATGGTATGTAATATTTGACACACGTGGTTCCGATCACTGAACTGGTTACAGCCCTTGGAGCGGTTTTGCCGGTTTTGCCGGATCGAACCAGAACCCCTGAATAATGGTAGAAGCTATACAATCGCGCCGGATAATTGATGATCAACTGTACATGGAAGGAGGAGCAGGCGGGACTAGTCGGCTTCTATTGGCCTGAAGGATCGGTTCTCACCCCCCGCCCCCTTGACCCCGGGGTGACCGCTGCCCAGAGTGACGGTGACCTGACCAGGGTGACGATGTCCATGCTTCCAATTCGATTTCTCTGACAGTGGCCGTGAAGCCCGGCTCCTGCCCTACGCCGCCTCCTGACACCGTGGGGACGTGCGACGAGGCGTGCACGGACGACGAGAGCTGCCCCGGCGAGCAGAAGTGCTGCAGCAACGGCTGTGGCCACAGCTGCGTGCAGCCGCAGGTCCTCTGGCTGAGCGATGTGAAGTTGCCGGTTCTCAAGCCGATCCCAGTGGAGCCGGGTGAGGCGAGCGTGAGCAACGGGAGAGTTTGTAACGGCCCCCTGGGGCTGTCGAGCTGTCCCCTCGTCGGTGGGGATGGGCCGGTGGAGGGGTGGGACACACAGAGGAGGTCGTCGAATATCCGGCGGCTTCGAGGGGAAGGGGGTGCCGGATTTTCAAAAACGTCAGGTGTTTACTTAATTATTTTAAAGTAACTTTTTCTCCAGATTCCTGTATAGCATGTTTTTAGGTATATATGTACAGTGAGGGAAAAACGTATTTGATCCCCTGCTGATTTTGTACGTTTGCCCACTGACAAAGAAATGATCAGTCTATAATTTTAATGGTAGGTTTATTTGAACAGTGAGAGACAGAATAACAACAAATATATCCAGAAAAACGCATGTCAAAAATGTTATAAATTGATTTGCATTTTAATGATGGAAATAAGTATTTGACCCCTCTGCAAAACATGACTTAGTACTTGGTGGCAAAACACTTGTTGACAATCACAGAGGTCAGACGTTTCTCGTAGTTGGCCACCAGGTTTGCACACATCTCAGGAGGGATTTTGTCCCACTCCTCTTTGCAGATCTTCTCCAAGTCATTAAGGTTTCGAGGCTGACGTTTGGCAACTCGAACCTTCAGCTCCCTCCACAGATTTTCTATGGGATTAAGGTCTGGAGACTGGCTAGGCCACTCCAGGACCTTAATGTGCTTCTTCTTGTGCCACTCCTTTGTTGCCTTGGCCGTGTGTTTTGGGTCATTGTCATGCTGGAATACCCATCCACGACCCATTTTCAATGCCCTGGCTGAGGGAAGGAGGTTCTCACCCAAGATTTGACGGTACATGGCACCGTCCATCGTCCCTTTGATGCGGTGAAGTTGTCCTGTCCTCTTAGCAGAAAAACACCCCCAAAGCATAATGTTTCCACCTCCATGTTTGACGGTGGGGATGGTGTTCTTGGGGTCATAGGCAGCATTCCTCCTCATCCAAACACGGCGAGTTGAGTTGATGCCAAAAAGCTCCATTTTGGTCTCATCTGACCACAACACTTTCACCCAGTTGTCCTCTGAATCATTCAGATGCTCATTGGCAAACTTCAGACGGGCATGTATACGTCCTTTCTTGAGCAGGGGGGACCTTGCGGGCACTGCAGCATTTCAGTCCTTCACAGCATAGTGTGTTACCAACTGTTTTCTTGGTGACTATGGTCCCAGCTGCCTTGAGATCATTGACAAGATCCTCCCGTGTAGTTCTGGGCTGATTCCTCACCGTTCTCATGATCATTGCAACTCCACGAGGTGAGATCTTGCATGGAGCCCCAGGCCGAGGGAGATTGACAGTTCTTTTGTGTTTCTTCCATTTGCAAATAATCGCACCAACTGTTGTCACCTTCTCACCAAGCTGCTTGAAGATGGTCTTGTAGCCCATTCCAGCCTTGTGTAGGTCTACAATCTTGTTCCTGACACATCCGTGGAGAGCTCTTTGGTCTTGGCCATGGTGGAGAGTTTGAAATCTGATTGATTGCTTTTGTAAACAGGTGTCTTTTATACAGTTAACAAGCTGAGATTAGGAGCACACTCTTAAAGGAAGTGCTCCTAATCTCAGCTTGGTACCTGTATAAAAGACACCTGGGAGCCAGAAATCTTTCTGATTGAGAGGGGGTCAAATACTTATTTCCCTCATTAAAATGCAATCAATTTATAACCTTTTTTGACATGCTTTTTTCTGGATTTTGTTGTTGTTATTCTGTCTCTCACTGTTCAAATAAACCTACCATTAAAATTATAGACTGATCATTTCTTTGTCAGTGGGCAAACGTACAAAATCAGCAGGGGATCAAATACTTTTTTCCCTCACTGTATATGTATTTTTGTGTTTTTTATTTGTTTACTATGAAATTGGAATAAATAAACATCCGAATTATCCTACTATAAAAAGTTACTGTATTTGCGTGCTCATCAATTGCCGAAGAATGCCGGATCGCACTGTATAATTTCAGTTTTTATTACTGGAGTTATTAGTCATGAAAAATGTATTATACGTGCAGTATTTTCATTATTTAAGTTTTATGTAGTGTATAATGGTATGTAATATTTGACACACGTGGTTCCGATCACTGAACTGGTTACAGCCCTTGGAGCGGTTTTGCCGGTTTTGCCGGATCGAACCAGAACCCCTGAATAATGGTAGAAGCTATACAATCGCGCCGGATAATTGATGATCAACTGTACATGGAAGGAGGAGCAGGCGGGACTAGTCGGCTTCTATTGGCCTGAAGGATCGGTTCTCACCCCCCGCCCCCTTGACCCCGGGGTGACCGCTGCCCAGAGTGACGGTGACCTGACCAGGGTGACGATGTCCATGCTTCCAATTCGATTTCTCTGACAGTGGCCGTGAAGCCCGGCTCCTGCCCTACGCCGCCTCCTGACACCGTGGGGACGTGCGACGAGGCGTGCACGGACGACGAGAGCTGCCCCGGCGAGCAGAAGTGCTGCAGCAACGGCTGTGGCCACGGCTGCGTGCAGCCGCAGGTCCTCTGGCTGAGCGATGTGAAGTTGCCGGTTCTCAAGCCGATCCCAGTGGAGCCGGGTGAGGCGAGCGTGAGCAACGGGAGAGTTTGTAACGGCCCCCTGGGGCTGTCGAGCTGTCCCCTCGTCGGTGGGGATGGGCCGGTGGAGGGGTGGGACACACAGAGGAGGTCGTCGAATATCCGGCGGCTTCGAGGGGAAGGGGGTGCCGGATTTTCAAAAACGTCGGGTGTTTACTTAATTATTTTAAAGTAACTTTTTCACCAGATTCCTGTATAGGATGTTTTTAGGTGTATATGTATATATATTGTTTTTGTGTTTAAAATTTGTTTACGATGAAATTGGAATAAATAAACATCTGAATTATCCTACTGTAAAAAGTTACCGTATTTGGGTGCTCATCAATTGCCGAAGAATGCCGAATTACATCAAATGTTCACCGGATCGCACTGTATATTTTCAGTTTTTATTACTGGAGTTATTAGTCATGAAGAATGTATTATACGTGCAGTATTTTCATTATTTAAGTTTTATGTAGTGTATAATGGTATGTAATATTTGACACATGGTTCTGATCACTGAACTGGTTACAGCCCTTGGAGCGGTTTTGCCGGATCGAACCAGAACCCCTGAATAATGTTAGAAACTGTACAATCGCGCCAGATAATTGATGATCAACTGTACATGGAAGGAGGATCAGGCGGGCCTAGTCGGCTTCTATTGGCCTGAAGGATCGGTTCTCACCCCCCGCCCCCATGACCCTTGTGCCCCCCCCCCACCCCCCTTGCCTGTGTGTAGGCAGAGTGAAGCCAGAGGTGAGGCCCGGGTGCTGTCGAGATCCGGACCCCTTCCACATCCAATTCTGCATATGGAAGAACGACCTCTGCCGCGGTGACGGCGAATGCCCCGGCGCCCAGAAGTGCTGCCCGCACCCGTGTGGGAATCGCTGTGAAGACGTGAAGCCAGGTGGGAGGGACGCGGAGGGACGTGGGGGGAAACCGGGAGACGCAGAGGGACACGGGGCATGGGGAGACAGAGGGACACGGGGCATGGGGAGACAGGGAGACACAAAGGGAAGCAGGGGACACAGAGGGGCATGGGGTCAGAGAGGGACACAGGGACACGTCTCCAAAGTGTCACTGCTGTTCCACTGGGCATCGCTGATGAGGGCGCATCACCAAGCGGCGTACAGCCGCTCCGCGAATCACGGAAAAGGTGCGCACATCGACAGGCACCTGTCCGTACGCGCATGGTTAGACGGACGCATCGCGAGCTTAGGGACTGTTGTCACCTGAGGAATCCAAGGGTCGTCGCACCCCCAGGATGAAGGTTATGGATTTGTGTTTTTATTCTTCGAGAGCCACGCTGCGTCGGTGCAGCTGGTGATGTGGCCCTGGGGAGTGGTAGCATAGCGGGAGAGCAAACTGCGCTGCGAACCCGGATACCCGACTTCGATTCCCGCTCATAGCCAACACCAGCGATGATTACCTGAATTGGTCCTGAGCATCCCCTAGGTGTTGGTACCACCCACCCCCTTGTGTGCCCTTCCAGCTTTCATAGGTGCTACTCACTAACAGCAATTGCCCCAACAGTCTATTAAAGGCTACACGGGGAGCGTCGTCTGTCGCCCGTGCCATTCTTCTTTTCAGTGAAGCCCAAGCCCGGAGAGTGTCCGTTTGTGGACACGAGGCTCATCCGCTGCGCGTACCGCCCACCGCTGTGCAGCGCGGACTGGCAGTGCCCCGGGGAGCAGAAGTGCTGCAACACGGGCTGCGTGACGGCCTGCAGCCAGCCCGGTACACCGTCCTGCGTCGTTATAGCCTAGTGGAGGTCACGGCATCCTCACCACCATCACCACCATCACCACCACCACCATCACCACCATCACCACCATTATCGTCATCGTCACCGTAATTTTTAGATCTCTCCGCAGCAGCAACGTGTCTCAGCAGCACTCATTGTGTACTGCAGTCGAGCGAGTAATAGAACAGGTGCAGCCATCGTGCTATCTCCCTTCTGTCCACAGCAGGGAGATCCTTGCCTAAGTAGGCTGCAAGTGACAGCGGAGTGAGTGCTCCCTGAGGATCAGTGTGATATTCGTGCAGGAAGATTAACACATGGCACGTGAGTGTCACGCTGACAGAACGACGAAAAAACGACTGAGCAGCACCAAGATCTGTTTGTGGTTTTTGTCGATTTCTCAAAGACATTCAACACGGTGCACAGAAACACACTCTGGAAAGTTATAAGAGCCTGTGGATGTCCAGAGCACTTTGTAAACATCATCAGACAGTTAAATGACAACTTGAGTGGTTGGGTATCGGTCGCAGGAAATGTGACGAACCGTTTTCACATTTGCCATGGAGTGAAACGGGGATATGTGCTGGCCCCCACCCTCTTTAGTCTCTTCCTTTCAGCAGTGCTCACAACCCCGAGTGTAAATATACGAACCCAGAGCGATGGCGAGCTGTATAATCTGGCTAGGCTACATGCTAACACCAAAGTGAAAGAACAGTTTGTCCAAGAACTTATTTTTGCCAAAGACACGGCCTAAGTTTCTCACAGCTGGAATGACATTCAGGAAAGCGTTTCAGTGCTGCAGCGAACCAGATTTGGACTACAAATCAACACAAGACTGAGATGTAGTCACAACCAACAAAAAAACTCATCAACAATCACCCACATCATTTTGTCAATGGTGCAACTCTCAAATGTGTGAACTCGTTCACTTACCTGGGAAGCACCGTGTCAAGCGTCAACTCTGTAAACGCCGACATTGCGCCTTGAAGCTGCATCTAAGGCCAAAGTACATTTCTACGGAGCAGTGGTAATTACGGCACTAATTGACTCTGTATAGACACTGACCCTAGACAGACGACGCCTGAAGAAACGAATGAGCGTGCAGCGGAGACATTTGAGACAAATCGTGAGGATCAAGTTGCGATTCCAAGCACCTCGCTGCTGGCGAGAGCTAGAATTCCCAGTGTTGTAGAGGCAAAATCGCTGCCTCCTCTCAGTTGAGATGAGCAGGGAACGTAACTCAAATGGCAGAATATCGGCTTCCTAGAATCTTACTTTACGGTGAAGTCAAAGAGGGTAAAAGCGTGTTCCTGGTGGCCAAAAACTGCGACAAAGACACCTCAAAACATCCAATATCAATGTGTACACATGGGAGGAAATGTCAATCAGGCACTCGAGAAGAGGGTTGAGTAAAACATGGAAAAAGCCTTTCAGCATCAACACCACAACACCACAACACAAATCCCATTCAGCAGACGAGAAACTCTTGCCCACAGTGCGGCCGATGCTTCCGCTCAAGGGCTGGGCTCTCATCTCACCAGCAGGCAGGAAAATGCAAGATGTTCTCCGCAGTCATCATCATTTGCGATGGACACCCGAAGTAAATTGCAGAGGTGTACTGACCTGTGCGTGTGAGGAATATGGCCAGTAGCCACTGCACTGGGCTTAGCCCACACATTGCATGACCCCAGTGAGGCGCGGTGGCATCAGTGACTGGAATCCACCGACTCTGGGGTCCGCTGCAGACGATGTCCAAGTCCCCCGCACGGAGATCTGCAGTGCAGAGATGCCAAACATTCCATTTGGATGTTGAGAACGTCTCGTCTGCCTTTGTATGGCCACCAGTCTTCAGACGCTTGCAGCTGGCAGGGAGGGGGCAGGAATGGCAGAAGTCCATCTGCCAGCTACCGTCGCCTGGTCTAGCCACTGGAGAGAGCCGAGCACTGGTGTGGAGACCAAATCCCAGAGTCACGACGGAGGTGCCGTTAAGTTGAAGGCAGAAGTGCTCCAGGGGGTCCCCGAAATACGTCGGGGGTTAGGGACTGGAAAGTTTCTACTTAACCCAAAACGATATACAACGGGGACTTTTTCCCCAAATGAATGCATGTGTGGAGGTTGTATCACTACGAACGGTACTCACCAGACGTGGTGGACACCACGTGGCATGGATAATCAGGAAGTAACAAGCCCTCTGATTGGTCCTTAACGGGCCTGAAAGGGGATTGGTTCGAGGCAGGGTAATTAAAGGGATTGGAAGAGAGACACAAATGGCAAGAGCAGAAAACAGAGGATGATTGACAGGGAGGTCGGTTGGGATACGTTAGAGAAAGTGGAAGGTGATTGGCTGGAGGGAAAGTGGGTCAAGGAACCTTCGAGAAAGGGGCTTAAGAGATAAATAAGTGGGGGGGGGGGACGCAAGAGCTGGAGACGCTTGGAGTGAAGGGAAGAAGTAAAGACTTACTGAAGACAAAGTGGTGTGTATCACTACATTTGTTCATGGGGGGGGGGGGGGGGGGATAGAGCCCGTAAGAGGATAAACATTGCCTATGCGATGCAAAGTGGGGCAATTTCTTCCATAAAAAACAATGGAATAAGGTAGGGATAGGGACCTTAACTTAGGGAAATGTTGTGTCTCATACCTAGCAATCAAAATAGTACGCCACATGTGTGGTGGGTAATTGTCAGGCGTAATACGCCGCCACCACTACTGGGAAATATGTAGCTCCAGTCAGGGCCCAACAGGGGGCAATAGCGGGTCCGGTCTGTACCAAGTCGGACTCGTGGCTCAGGCAATCTGGGGGGCGGTTACAAACCGGAGGGGGACACCCCAGGCCCCCAGTAGCGGCTGGGGGATTGCGCAACAATCTCGGTCCCTCCAGAAGGTTCCAGAGAGTGGGCGTGGCCAGGGGCAGAGTGACCCTGGGAGCCCCGAAAAAGCCGGACCCCCCAGAGCGGCTCCGGCAGTCGGCGTCAAGCCGAAGGCCGAGGAGCTCGCTGAAGACTAGGACCCTGAAGATCCCCGGACCCTGAAGATCCTCATCGGGGCCGGGTCTGAGTGGGCCAGCGGTCGAGACCCGGGGACCTTGGCAGGGTCGGGTCGGCCTCCCCTAGGTCCCGTGAGCCGGAGGGCTCAGATGAGGTGGTCCCAGTGACTAGGGCACGTTCGCCCGGCGGCTGTACCTCTTCAGGTCGTCGGGTAGAAGGGGCCGTTACCCCTTCGTGTTATTGTTAAATAAATACGTGTTGCCTCCTAAGAAGACTCCGCCTCCATACGACCCACTACACATTTACAGAAAACCACGTACAGTACCTGTACTATTCCATATAACGCAATGTACACAACCAATTCTGAGTTCAAGAAGCTTTAAACAGCATTTAGACTTATCAAACACTTCACTGAAAACCATTTTGATGAGCATTTCGCAGCAGCCCTGTACACTTTAACACGTTTATTTTTTTAATAGAAAACACATTTTCAACATTTTATAGAAATTAATCAAACAGAAAACAATTTTTATTGTAAAAAAAAGGCACATAATCTTTAACAGCATTGTTTAAAGATTTTACCTTAACCTATATTTGTCATACTCTTTGGTTCTTTCGGTAAAGTCACGTAGGTATAAAATAAAATATTAAAATAAATCACGACGTTTCGGGCGCTTCCGTCATCAGATGGGAAAACATATATTTGTCATGAGGAGTGGATGGGTTGTGTTGAAGGGTTGCGACGATATTTAGCGATAAAGTCGGCGCCGATTACCATGAGCACTCGTAGCTACGCGCGCGACGGGGCGATGGGACTGAGAATGTGATGGCGCTCGTGCGAGTTGTACGGTACGTCTATGGCTCTCCCCCCGGCCAGAGCCGAGTTCAGCTGATTTTAGTCGAAAACGATCATCGTCAGTCGTGTTGGCCGTGAGCAGGAATCGAAGTGGGCTCCGCGTGCTAACCACGACACACTCACGCACGATATTCTACACTCGGCTTTGCTGAACCGAGTCAAAAACGACGCATATGGGGAAGATTTTACGTTGTGTTCATAAAAAAGTCTGTGATGTGAGTACGAAACAGCGAATATCAAGACGACGTATATCGAGGACCCCCAGTACTGCATTGACCACTCCCATACACCCCCTTAAGCAATTGGGTAATTCAATTAATGTAATTATACATTTATACATTCAAGGTGCAAAAGTCACACGATTAATATCTGATTCGATGAATATCTAGAACTTGACCTGATTTTAATCAATCAATGCATCCATTAAACTCGTCATGTGGATGCTGCAGAATGTTATCTCCTTATTGTTTGAACGCAATGTTGAGTACAGCTGCTGACTTGGCCGTTGCTGTGCGATTGTTTTCTCAGTCAAAAACGGATTTTGTCCGTATGTCGACACGACCAGGCGCATCAAATGCGTGGTCCGCCCTGACCTCAACCAATGCCAGCACGACTGGCAGTGCCCGGGCAACCAGAAGTGCTGCAATACGGGCTGCGAGCTGATCTGTATCAAGCCAGGTGTGCGCCAGCCTCAATCATTCCCCAGTCTTGAGAGAAGGAAGATCGTGCCATCATCACTGCTAGCGTCATCATTCGCATCAGCAGCCATGATCTACTCAAGCCCACTTGCCATCACGTCCACTTGCCATCGCGTCCACTTGTCAATGATGTCTCCTAACACATTCTCTAATCCTAGTTCTTACACCTGGATCTTGAACTCCAAGCGTACACCATGCTTGCCTCTCCGTGCTTCTAGTTTTTATAGAGAGTTTGCAATTTAAGTTAACAAATAAATTAATCGCATGAATTGTGAGTCCAATAACGCTAGCACAGGTCTGACCTATACATGTTATGTTATTTTTTTTCTTGCATTTATTTTATTTGCAGACACCACTCTGACCTCCCCCAGGCACGATGGTGCTTCTATTTGCCATATAAAATAGCTTCATGCCTGATGTGCTCGTCCCCTCGTGCCTGTGCGGTGCGTGTTCCAGTGAAGGCTGGGTCGTGCCCGGTCTGGAACTTTTCGCGCATCGTCTGCATCCGCTATAACGACGGCTGCAGCAGTGACGACGACTGCCCTGGCAAGCAGAGGTGCTGCAGCGTCCCGTGTGGGGTGGGCTGCGTGGATCCAGAGCCGGGTGAGATTGGGCGTTCGTCCCCCCCACCACCACTCGCCATCACCAGGGACAGATGGAGACGCTTTTTGTGAAGTTCATAGAAGCTAATGGGTACACCTGTGTTTTTTATGCGATTTGGAAATCAACCGATGATGCTCATGAGATGTACTAGGGATGGGAAGCAATTCGATGGCGTCTGTGTGTTCCTGCTGGATGGATTCCCGTCGTGTACCGCCCGAGCCGAGAGGGGGTTGGACAACCTGTCGGATGGCGCCTCGCCACAGTCCCGAGCGGGGTGGGGGTGGGGGCTGGCAGCTTCACTCTGAGACTACCTGCCCAGTTGTGGCTCACGAGTCGTTGATTATAACATGGCTTTCTTACGCTTGATTGTTTTATTTTGCAGTGTTAGACCAGATCGGGAAGGAGGCGGAGTCTGATACAAAGCAGGAGGAGCAGGAGGAGTAGAGTCCACGCCCAGCTGCTCCACGTGCTTCTTGTTGCTGCTGCTGCTGCTCCCGCTGCAGAGCGTCTCTCGTCCCGTGTCTGGGGCTTCGCGGTGACGCGACCGAGCTCGCTCGCGCCCGCTGTCTGGATGCAGCCGCTCGCTATGGCAATTCAACAGCTCCCGTTGGCTGTCCAATAAAAGTGCTCTGCGCTGAATGCTGTTCAAGTGGCCCAGTGTTGTCCTTGTGCGTGCTGTGCCTTCTGTGGTGCCGCGGGAGAGAACATCGTGCTCCCTGTGACCGAACACGGAATATTCCAAATATTTGCGCGGTACCCCTAGAAGGGAATCAATATTTGTAGAGCCGCTTGATGTACTGCCCAGCGAAGATAGAACACAAAGCTGCTACATTGGTTAGCACAAAACGGACTATCAAAAAGTAGAACCTAAGCTGAACACAATAAGTACAGTGATCCCTTTCCAGCCACGAATTTGCAACCACGAATCGTCATACTTGCAGTACAACGCATCGCACGACAGGAGCGGTGCGAGAGCCGAGCCGAGGTCACACGACATTAGACTCGGCTGCCAAGGCAAGTGGTGGTGGGCCGCTTGTTATCAAACATCGAACAAGCTTGCGTTCACTTAGGATGAATGTTTCGACTTGGTTATTTGCACTCGTTGGTCCAGGAGAGCTCTGATGAGTCTTCAGACACTTTTTTTCAGAAGGGTTCTGCCAAGTTTGCGCAGTAGGGGGCGATGTTGCTGCTGCTCTGTGATCCCACCGAAGTAGATTGCAGGTGATGTGTCACCATTGCTATGTCGTGGCCCACCCACTCTCTCTCAGAGACACAACAGCCAAGGTATAACTACAACCAGGACGCCTTTATTTAAGTCGGCTATGTGCGGTGCGAAAGAAGTTCAACGTACATTTGCACAACAGCGGGGCGCCAACAGCATCGTCAACTCCCGTCAAAGCCTGCTACGTGATTTTTTTCAGTCACTCAATTGGGCCTTGAATAGATCTGCCGCTTCTCCACTCACTGCCTCTTATTCCCCTTCAGTGGCTCCCGTGAACTTTATAGCTCGTCAAATTTCTCCAGTACAGGGACTCCCCTACTTACGAAAATTCGACTTACGACCTTTCAAAGATACGAACAAACCTGTCCGTATGTCCAGTTGCCTATTCGGACCGAGAGTCGTAAGTTTAACCGCCGCGCATTAGATGGCGGTGGTGACATCTACACCTGCAGAGCATGAAGAACCAGTGGCATCTACATGTACAGGAGATTATACAACTTTTAAAGCCATTCCCCATGTTTAGTGTATATTCCGTACAACAAGTTTGGTATCGACAGGAGTAAAGTTGGACTTCTAGAACCGAACTCGTTCGTAAATCGAGTTCTTGTGTAAATATCATCATTCTGGGCGGCAAGGCAGGCGACGCTCCGAGTCCGGCGCTGTCTGTTTGCGCCGATCGTGAGCCCAGTAGATTACGCCGCCACTCGGGAATCTCTCATCCTCCTCCTGAGCTGCTCTTCCCTTCGTCTCGCCCATAAGGGACGCGATTCTACGCGCCGTTTATCATGCAGCTCGCCGACCCTGCCACGTGCTGTGTTTAGCTCCCCCATGCACGCGCGCCTCGCGCACAGTGAGACAGCTTCCCTGGGTAGTGATGTCGCACAATGGTGACCCAGGATAATGACGATAGCTCCACGTCGTCTCCATATACGTTCCTATTGATATGCGATGGGGCTGAATCCTAATTGGGCGGGATCAATAATTCTCTCCTGATTACGAGGCGTGGTGCCAATTAGACGCGAGAGCTGGCAAGTCAGCCTGCAGTGAATCGGGAGTCACTGGGCGACACCGAAGCCCCAATAATTGGGCCCCCGTGGGGCCGAGCGGGTGGATGTGAGCGTCTCTCGGCACGGCTGCAGGCCACTGCCCGTGGCCATCGTTCCTCCTCCTGTGACTCGACGTGCAGGGGAAGCGTCGCCCTCGGGCTGCAGAGCGGGCGAGTTGGCTGCGCTGGGTGGAGCTTCACGCCTGGGCACTCGCAGAGTCGCCCTATCGTCGTGAATGCGGTGCAGTGTGATCTGTCGTGAATGCGGTGCAGTGTGATCTGTCGTGAATGCGGTGCAGTGTGATCTGTCGTGAATGCGGTGCAGTGTGATCTGTCGTGAATGCGGTGCAGTGTGATCTGTCGTGAATGCGGTGCAGTGTGATCTGTCGTGAATGCGGTGAAGTGTGATCTGTCGTGAATGCGGTGCAGTGTGATCTGTCGTGAATGCGGTGCAGTGTGATCTGTCGTGAATGCGGTGCAGTGTGATCTGTCGTGAATGCGGTGCAGTGTGATCTGTCGTGAATGCGGTGCAGTGTGATCTGTCGTGAATGCGGTGCAGTGTGATCTGTCGTGAATGCGGTGCAGTGTGATCTGTCGTGAATGCGGTGAAGTGTGATCTGTCGTGAATGCGGTGCAGTGTGATCTGTCGTGAATGCGGTGCAGTGTGATCTGTCGTGAATGCGGTGCAGTGTGATCTGTCGTGAATGCGGTGAAGTGTGATCTGTCGTGAATGCGGTGCAGTGTGATCTGTCGTGAATGCGGTGAAGTGTGATCTGTCGTGAATGCGGTGAAGTGTGATCTGTCGTGAATGCGGTGCAGTGTGATCTGTCGTGAATGCGGTGAAGTGTGATCTGTCGTGAATGCGGTGCAGTGTGATCTGTCGTGAATGCGGTGCAGTGTGATCTGTCGTGAATGCGGTGAAGTGTGATCTGTCGTGAATGCGGTGCAGTGTGATCTGTCGTGAATGCGGTGCAGTGTGATCTGTCGTGAATGCGGTGCAGTGTGATCTGTCGTGAATGCGGTGCAGTGTGATCTGTTCATCGCGAGACTCAACTCTTTACTTGACACGAGGAGGGACGGACGCGTTCCGTGAAGCAACTCGTGACGATTACGAGACTCCTGCGTCGACCGACAACGCTTTGTCGCTTGCCTTGTCACGTGGTTATTGGCACTGCCATTCGTACGGCGCAAGGACATCGACCAAGGCAGTTGTTCTGTTGCCTGCCAGATTTTTGTTTAGAAGGTGAATCATCTAAACACAAATTAAGCACGAACACGTAAATACAACAACTTTGTTTCATCAAACCCCGTGTGTTTATTAACATCCTTTTGTGTTGTCTACGATTGAGAACCAGAGAGGTGCGAGGAGAAGAAGGGCCACTGGACTCGCGGTGACCACGTGGCGCAGACGCGGTCCGCGGTGGAGTCACGTGTCGGCTCCCCCTGGCTGGGGGTGCCCGGCGTGTCCCGGCGTGTCCGGCAGAGTCGCCCGGCCGCCTCGCGTCCACCGATTGCCTCACGAGGCGCGGCCCTGCGGCCTCGTCCCAAAGCCGTCGCCAATAATTAATTGTGCCGCTCCGCCCTGCTTCAAGTGACGGCGCCGGGGATTACATTTGTTCATTTCAAATTGAAAGGCGAGCGAGTGACAGTGTCGTGACTCAATCTCGTGATGGTTGTTTTTGGGTGGCAGGGTGGCCGCGAAGTGGCTTCACTGATGCTTCACTGATGCTTCACTGATGTCTTTTAAGAAAACTAAGTTGTGGGTGAGATTCCCACGACGGGTAACCTCGTGTTGCATGTTCTTCCCGTGTTCCACGTTGCGGGTGCGTGTGTGGGGAGCGGTGGCGCACATGGTTAGCGCACTCGATGACGAACCCGGCCACAAAAGTTCGATTTCTGCTCACGGCTAATGTCGCTGCTGGGTATCTAAATCGGTCCTGGACCTGTTTTAGGTCGACTCAGCCTGAAATTAGTACCTGGTCGAGTGTGTAACCATCAGCACTGGGGAGACAAAAGGTGGCCGGCCGTGGTGCTGGTCACACCAGGCCATCATAGGTGCTCCCTGCCACCACTTGCCCCAACAGTCTGTTACATGTGTAGTGACATAGAACGGGGCACTACGGCGCCTAGCGCCAGTTACTGTAGAGAGGGGCACTGGGAGTGTAGTAGCCCTCTCTGCCAGCGGGGCCTGCACTGTCACGGAGCGGGTCCCTAGGGGGCGTAGTGCTGGTGGCTGGCAGAGAGGGGGCATCTGAGGACGTAGCAGCCCGGTTGGCTGGCAAGGGCACGTGATAGGCCAGGGTCAGGATGTGGGCCAAAGGTGACAGAAGCGACACGTGGGGTATGGCCTAGAACCTTCTGGTAGGTTCCAGAAGGGGGCGTGGCCGAGGGCGGAGCCAGGCCACGCTGGGGGCATAAAAGGGAGGTCCCG